ATATACACTCCTGAAACAAGTCTTTTTTTCATGCTAAAATAAGATCATGTACATTTTAATTTTCTTTAAAACTATATACAGTAACGAAAAATATTATACATTGAATCGCCCTTTTAGACAAACCATTGCTGATAGTAACTTGTGGAGTGAGAATTACTATAATGCATTTTTTAATAAAAAAAAAATTGTTAGCAAATCACCTACAATACAATTCAAGTATTGGATCCTAATTCAGCTTATACGTTATTCACTTAAAACAAATTGGTTATGAGGTGTAAAGTGAGGAAGAATTTCATGTTGCCCATTGTCATGTTGTGTATGCTCTTTGTGTGTTTTGCCATTATGCTTGTATGCAGGGCACTTTCTGCCTAGGCTTGGGTTCGGACAGCCCTGACCCGACCCAAGTGAACTATGGCCCGCCAAATTGATCAATTCACAATACTACATAAGATTTTATTTGCCACACCATTCGCCGATTCTTCGGACTAGTCTTGATCCCGTTGATATAACAGTCCGAATCTATCATCGACATATTACAATTTTTAAATCAATATAAATCATTGGATCAATGGATTCCGTCTTAAAAAAGTAATAGGAGAGTTCATCTAAGGGTTGTTATTCGTTTAGTATACCATGTGTGATCCAAAGTATTGCATCAAAGGAAAAGGGTGGAATTCAATCCATAAAACAAGGAGAACCTTCGACTATAAAAAATTCAAGAAGAACCCCATTTTGGGCAGCGTTTAATAGGGCCATCAATGAATAGTTTGAGCTAGGCAATTTATTATTGTTTATTAGATTAGTGGACTAAGATTGTGTTTAGAAGATAGTGTTACATTTTTGTTTTTTTTTTGGGGGGGCTAATTTCATTTTATGTCCCGAAAAGTATTTCGATTCTCAATTTAAATCTTTAAATATTAAAAATTTTAATTTATACCCTCAAGTTTATAAATTGATAGTAATATGAATTTTGCCTAGATTGCTGTTCGATTTCTTATTATAAATTGAAACACGTGAATTATAAATATTTTGGATATGAACTTATGTGTAAATTTACAAACAATTGGTGCCTCGTATGAGTTGCATATGATAAGGTTATCCTCTATCTGATTAATGAAATCTTATTTTTAATATACAAAACGGTTCCAAATTGATAGGAAACGAAGATCTACAACAATTAACATACCTCATCCTCATGTACGAATCACTTGCATCTCATGTGTTTTAATTTATGATAAAAACTGAACGACAGTGTGGTTTAAGACCGTTAGTATTAATTTATAATATTGCGGATGCAAATTAAATTTTTTAATTTTTGAGGGTACAAATTAAATATCAAAGTATATTTCAGGATGCAAAGTGAAATTAGTCCCCTTTTTTTTTTGTGTGTGCGGTTTACTCTTTTTTACTGTTGGAACCAGAAACTTTAAAATAAGGTGGCATGACCCCCCGGAGATCCAACATACTGCCACACTACTTTTTTTTGGCAAACTTTTATTGATACTATTGGATGATAATGTTATTTCCTTATTTTCTATTTTTTATAGACACTATTTTAGAGGAGGAAAACGAAAAAATTCGAGCATGTGATCTTAAGATTCAACAACGAGAGCAGGGGTTATTGGGATAACTGCTAACTTCCCCCCTTTTTATTAGTTGTTGGCGAATTGATTTTGCCAATTATACTTAAATTATCTTTATTTTTGGTAAAAATTATCTAATCTTTCCACGAACAAATACAATACATTTTAAAAATAATGTTATTTAGACTTAAAATTTCGATATAATTTGCTGACCTAGTAATATATTTTCATTAAATTCATTTAATTAACATCTAGTTCTAATATTTGATAGGATCCACAATTAAGGTCAAGGTCAACACATTAGATCAATAAATTCTGTCTTAACAATATTACTCATAATTTAATGAATTTTTGCACTCAAAAGTGAGCATCTACTTATCCAATCTAAGTTTGGCTCTATCTAAAGCTAAGTTTGGCTCTACCTAAAGGTGCTTGATCAAGCATTGACATAAACTTGAGTTAGAGTAACAAAAATACTAAAGTTTATAGAGTTGATTCCAACCTCTATACCAACATAAATCCATCCTTGTCAATTTACTAATAACAAAGATTCTAAGTTTCTCTATGTAAGCTCATTTCAACTCTAAAGTGTACCCAAATAAAGAAAGTAAAAAAAAAAGGGTCAATATTTTTTGAGTTTCATCATCATCACAATAAGTATTTATTTCATGAGCTATTTAGCTATAAAAGTGCATTAACAAAAGGTTAAATACTCCACCATTAGGATTTAGACCCTCTTCATTTCTAGCTTTGTTTAATTTTCTCATTCCTAAATCACACAGACATCAATTTGAATGAAATTCACTAGTTTAAACAAATAACCGATCAAGGGTTTGGTTCACCAGTAATACAATTGTTCTCGAAGGGTTTGGTTCACCAGTAATACAATTGTTCTCGATTTTTCTCATTGACAAATAACTAAAAATGATTTCAAGTGAGATATATTGTATACAAATGATTTTTCTTACTAATGTTCCATTGATGCTCTATCATTCAATTTTTTTTTAAAAAAATAAAGTATTATAAAATTTTGAATTTCTCGATAACAAAACTCTTTTTCTCTTTCTTTCACATTTTCACCTCCACCCTTATCCAGGTGAGGATCATCTTGTGTTAAAAAATTAGCAACAAAAATGTTGTTTATCAAAATGGTACCGTTCTGTTTTCATTAATAACACCTCCACTTTTAAAAATTAACAAACGACAGAGGAGCCGGACCCCCACCTCCACCCCCACCATTCTTCCTCCTCCCCTTTCCCCACATACCACAAACCCACCTCACACCCACTCTCCCCCCAAACACACACACACACAAATATTTCCATGGGAGACACCATAATAGTTGTGGTGGGACCTCGTTTCCTTTATTTCGCTCTCCCTCCGTTTCCATCTAAATCTCTACCAAAATGGCGTTGGGTCCACCTATGCTCCCCACAGCGAAATCAACCGTGACAAATCACAATTCCAATCAACGGTCACGATCTCTCCAACTGTCTTCATCCTTCAAAGTTCAAACTACCTGTCCAAAGCCCCACGAAAGTTCCAAACTGTATAAATTCCTCAGATTCCCTCCATCTCTATCGTCCATTCCTCTCTCTCTCTCTCTCTCTCTCTCTCTCTCTCTCTGTCGAATTTCTACCAGTACATTCTCTCTTTCGATTGCAAATTTCAACACAAATTCTATTTTCTGCACATTAAGAGCAAAAAAAGTGCTTTTTCAAAGCTGAAATACTGTAGAACCTGCGATATAGTTTGTTTTCGAAGCATTGCTCGACAGTGTTTCGATTACGCAAATTCAGTAGGTTTCGAAGTGTTTTTTGAAAGCAAAAACACTTCATAATCAGTGTTTTACTTCGATTTTACTCTTCTATTTTTGAGATCTCAGTGGATCACAGGCCTGGTCATAGTTACAATCTTCATTTTATTCATGCTCCAAGTCCTGTGGTAAGTCAATCATCTTCTTTCCTTCTCCACACACACACACACACACACACAAAAGAATGTATGTGTATGTGTGTGTGTCTTCATGCGTGAATTTGGGAGAAAGTTTGAGGGTTATTTGGTTGATTGATCCGAGAAGTATCACATTTTTTAACTTTGTTTTGCAGAGTTTGAGCTTGGGAATTCGCTGATTTGAAGTTGAGAGATTGAAAGCTGAGATTTAGGGGGGTAATCTAGTGTTTTGTGGTGCTGTGAACAGTGAATTGTTTGGTGTTTCTGGGAGGTCAATTGAGCTGGTAAATATGGCGTTTGACTTAGGGGTTGTACTGACAAAGATGAGTACATTATCAGCTTCCTATAACACTTCCGTGGTGTCAATTAACTTATTTGTGGCGCTTCTTTGCGCATGTATTGTGATCGGTCATCTTTTGGAGGAGAATCGGTGGATGAATGAGTCCATCACAGCCCTTGCTGTTGTGAGTTCTTCTATGTAGTCCCCTTCTCTCTCTCTCTCTCTCTCTATAATGTGTATTTATTTATGTATTATACTATTATGGGAAGCAATGGGGACGGAATTTGAATTCCATTGGTTTATGACAGGGTTTGTGCACTGGTATTGCGATTCTATTAACTAGTGGATGGAAGAGCTCACATCTGTTGCTTTTCAGTGAAGATCTTTTCTTCATTTATCTCCTTCCGCCAATCATATTCAATGCTGGGTATGTTGCGCATTTCATGTTTTTTCCCTGGAAGGTTGTTGCGCATTTACATCATCATCTTCTTATTGTGAGTTCAATAAAATCGGATTTTATGTTATAATTTATCTACTTATTTACAAGCTTGTTTCTCAATTCTTTGGGCTGCCATACACAAACACACACACGCATCCTAAATTTGATGGTGTGAGTACTGAAAGGTTTCTGTATTTCCCAAAGTGTTTTGGTTTGGATACATTGCTGCACCGAATTCTGTGTGGTTACGCAGTGGTTTATGATTGCCAAAATAGGTAGTGTTTTTAGCTATAATTTAAAAAAGGAGTGAAGAACTCATAAACTGAAATTGGTCTTTAGAGTTGAGTCTTCGTTGGCACTGGAAATTCTGATTAGTTCGATAGTCAAATCTTCTAAATCACCTTCTTTTTTTCCATCCTTGACACCATTGAGATAATTTATCAGTAACTACCATTTTCACTTTGGGTGCTAGAATGCTGGTTACCAGGCCCTACCGTTGCTCTGCCAAATGGAGGATTATTAGCTATCTGGGAATAAAACTTAATCGAAGCTCAAATTCATTAGGTGATTGTATATGAACTAATGTCTGTAAATTTGGTTCTTCTGATTCGTTAGTTTGAAATTTAGGAACAGTGAAAAAAATTGGGGGGCTGTAAGGCCCTGTTTAGGTGTTCAGGTGGCCCATGTGTTGGTTGGGCTCCAAAGTTCCAAACTCAATCCTTGGATGAGCTTGGGCTTCTGAACAAGGAAATTCGTATATATTTTTTGCCCCTTTTTGGTTTTTCAAAAATGGCTCCTTATTTTTTACAAGAATTAGCCTTTCTCTTTCTTTTAGTTCCTAGTATATCAAATTACAAAGTGATGATTATGAGTTTCCTTCTTTTTTTTCCTCAAATATGTTCAGGTTCCAGGTAAAGAAGAAACAATTCTTTCGCAACTTCATGACTATCACACTGTTTGGTGCAGTTGGTACCCTGATATCCTTTATCATCATATCATTAGGTATGCTCTTATGTCTACAATAGTTTAACTCCTTACCGCTTCTATCATATTCAAGAATAGAGACAAGAAGAAGAGAAGAAGAAATCTGCTCTGTTCAGAATTACCAAGATTTCAAATGCTAATTTCTATTTGTATGATGTTCTTAGGATTGTCCGTGTGGAATGCATTTCATTATTGTGCTATTGTTAATGATACCTTTCAATTTTTGGCCAGGGGCTATTAAGTTTATAAAGAAAATGAATATCGGTTCTCTCGAGATTGGAGATTATCTTGGTACTACTCAACTGTCTGTTTCCCTGTTATTTTCCTCTTTATTTTCCACTACCATAACACATCTTTTTGCTCTCTTAACTTAATTATTTTCAGCGATTGGAGCAATCTTTTCTGCTACAGATTCTGTTTGCACCTTGCAGGTATAGATAGCATTTTCGGCTGTAGTCTTGTAGAATTGAAACATTCATGACGAGTGATCTGATGATGCAGGTGCTTAATCAGGATGAGACACCTTTACTATACAGTCTAGTATTTGGTGAAGGCGTTGTAAATGATGCCACATCAGTGGTGCTTTTTAATGCCGTTCAAAATTTTGACCTATCTCATATGAGCTCAAGCATTGCTTTGCAGTTAGTTGGCAATTTTTTATATTTGTTTATCACAAGCACTGTGCTGGGAGTTGCTGTGAGTCTCTCTCTCTCTCTCTCTCTCTCTCTCTCTCTCTCTCTCATAAGTTTCTGCATGATTTTGAATAGATATGGTTATGTGACACCATATTCCTACAACTACAGGTCGGACTGCTTAGCGCGTACATTATAAAAAAGCTATATTTTGGAAGGTATGTAAATGTTTCACTCGAATTGACACTGCATACTTGAAGATTGAATGAAATCCCTGATCATATAAACCATGTGAATCAAAGTTCAGAACAGGTATAATTTGTCAGAGTCAAGAAGATGGTGCAGTTGTAGGTGATTAATATTTGCTTTTTTACATCTGCTTCTGCACCAGATATGTTGGTATGACATTGGTACAACATAATTGGTTTCTGGCTGGATGTGCCTTAAATTCTATAGTATAAGTTGACATTGAAGATAGATTATGCGATGGAAAGAAGCACAAGGAATTTGCCTTCTTTTACTGGGATTACTATTTATACCTGATTTTCTAATGAACTCCAGGCATTCCACTGATCGTGAGGTTGCTATTATGATACTCATGGCTTACTTTTCGTATTTGCTGGCAGATGTAAGTATGTTATTGTTGTGGTTTCTAAGACCTGGAATATTTTAGCTCTCTGTTTCTACGTTACATAGGATAGGAACCTTTGGACCATTGAATTTCAGCATTTTGATGCTTATGTTGATGCTAAACTTGTCTCGCAGCTATTCTATTTAAGTGCCATCCTCACTGTGTTTTTTTGCGGGATTGTGATGTCCCACTACACCTGGCACAATGTCACTGAAAGTTCGAGAATCACTGCTAAGTATGTGTGGCATCCAGTAACAGTTGGAACGACTCCATGTTCGTGCTGTTTCTCTTTAGCCAGAATGCTAAATTGACATGTAAATTTTGTTTCTTTTGTATGCTCTTGTAGGCATGCTTTTGCGACATTGTCATTTGTTGCTGAGATATTTATTTTTCTCTACGTTGGCATGGATGCTTTGGACATTGAAAAGTGGAGTGTTGTTAGTGACAGGTATGGTTTACATGCATAAAGAGAATGAGTCATGTTCTGGAAAAAATAAGTCATCGTTTCATGTTTTGATGAGATGTGCCATTTATGTGAACTGTGGCAAATTGCAATTTTTTTTTATCTTTTTTGGGACATCAGTCTTAATTTCTGTTGTTTTTTTCTTTTGTCAGCCCTGGAACATCAGTTTGGGTGAGCTCAATTCTGTTGGGACTGGTTTTGGTTGGAAGAGGAGCCTTTGTTTTCCCATTGTCATTTTTGTCCAACTTGACGAAGAAGTCTCCTCACGAGAAAATTTATCTGAAGCAGCAAGTATGAGTTGACTGTTCTGGATTCGTGTTTCCAGTACTATGATTATTTGGCACACTTCATTAATTTTAATTGTCCAGGTTACAATATGGTGGGCTGGTCTAATGCGAGGTTCTGTTTCTATGGCTCTTGCTTATAATCAGGTAAATAACATGTTTATACAGTCTTATAACTTGGTTAACAGATATGATCTTGTTATATTATGCACAAGACAAACATAGGAACCACCTTATTCTTGTGCTTATTATAGGCTGTGCTTTTCTATGACTTGTTCACCACAGGGCAGGGAACGAGGAGGATGAGGGGTGGGGGTTTTGAAGAAGCATTTGATGTTGGGTGTTTTTTGTGTACTGAATTCATAATTTTCATTTATGCAGTTTACAAAGTATGGCCATACCAAACTACGTGGGAATTCGATGATGGTCACCAGTACCATCACAGTTGTTCTCTTCAGCACAGTGGTGAGACATGTTAATTCTTAGGCATCTGCTGACAGATGGGGTTGCAATCTATAAGTGGGCCCGTCTACCTGGTTTTAAGTTCCAGACCTTAAAAATAGGCCAAGTCAAAAAGACAATAGAACCATTGAAAATGTTTTCTGAATCTTCTCAACTTCTAGCCTTTATGATTCAGTAGAATTTCCTGATTTTTTTCTCTGAACTCGTTGGAACGTGATTTTATCCTAAGAATGGGTTTTCATAGAAAATTACATATACCCATCTGCACATAAGCTTCCATGGTAACTTAGCGTTGAGCTTTAAACATGAAGGTAGTGTGAAAATCTGAATTTTCCTACCTATTCGTGCTGACAACCCCGAACCTGGTTGCTCGTGGTTAGCTCAGCACCAGTATATTGCTGTAATTTTTGACAGTTTTGAGCCTACTGAGATTATTAAGTCTGGAAATTAAATGACCTGTTTTTAATAGCTACTTCAACAATGTGGCTGCAGTTGATTTGTAGCACAATATTGTCGCACATTCCCTTCTAGGTTTGTTTCTTTCATTGATCACAGTTTCTTTCTCCTGTGATACATGTAGGTGTTTGGATTGATGACTAAACCTCTGGTGAGGCTCTTGCTGCCCACGCCAAAACACTTGAGCATCATGGTTTCCTCCGAACCAGTTACTCCTAAATCCTTCACCGTGCCACTTCTTACCCATGGGCAGGATTCAGAAGCCGACCTCAGCAGTCACAGCGTGCCCCGTCCAACCAGCTTGCGGATGCTTCTGTCAAAACCAACTCACACCGTTCACCATTATTGGAGAAAATTCGACAATGCATTTATGCGTCCGGTTTTTGGTGGCCGGGGTTTTGTACCATATGTTCCTGCCTCGCCAACTGATCTTAGTGTTCATCAATGGCACTGAGAAGGGAACCATACAGCATCAGTTAACTTTTGGTGAGACGTGTAATCAGATCTATGTTTTGAGGTTTTGTTGTTAATATTACAGAGGTTTTTTGTGTGAGATTGAATGGGGGTTCTTTGACATGGTTTTGATTGAGAGAAGGATTTAGTGTGACGGAAAGATTGTTTCATTGTGACTTGAGTACCGTAGATTCGAGTCACGAACAAGTAGGGATAGGGTTGACGTAAGTCTTGTGCATTGTTTTTTGTGGTCTCAGTTTTCTGATTGGGTTGGTCAGTCATCGACCCAAGAGCTTGTACATGAGTATTCCATGAGGTTTTCTCCCTGACAGCAATTTTGAACACCAAATCGGTGTGTAATTTTGTAAAACATTGTCAATAAATCTCAACTTCTATATATGGGTTTCCAGGCTTCTCACTGTATAATGCTATTTTTCTTTGGTTTTCTACCCCACCTAGGACTGTCAATTGGTCGGTTTGTGTTGTGTGTAAGTTATATTATGCAAAAATTTGTTCAAACCAAATTCAAATTATTTATATATGTGTGTAGTTGGATTTTTGTTGTGTCGGGTTCGTGTCATTTATAAGTCAGTTTTTAAAAGGTCAACCCTGTTACTACTAAAATCTAATAAGGTTTAATTCAAATTCACAAATTTTATGTCAATTAGTGTCGAGTTTGCAAATTGTGTCTAAAATTACCAAGCATACACCCATCGGATAATTGTCCATAGAAATCCTTGGGAATGACATTAAGGAGAGACTTTAAATTAAGACTGAAATAGAACTATACTTCTACACGATCCAAACTCTATGATCTTTAGCTTTGAGTGGCAAATTCTCTGATTTTGAGAAGAGTTATGCTGTCCATTCATGAACTACCGGGATCTTGGGAAGAAAAAGTCACTTCCGTTTTATTTCACAATTTATTATTATTATTTTTTGTGTTTTTTGTTACAAGATATTTAAATTTACGTCGAATATTCTCTTAAATTCAACAATTGCCACCGTGGCTTGAGTTGAATTAGAATGACCCTTGGAGTGGGAGAATGAATTAAACCTGAATTATCAAATGTCAAATTCAACTACTAAACCACTTTATAATGATTATTTCACACGATTCATAAAAATTTTATTTGGTTATACCGGAATCACATGGAAGTATATGTTACATGATCATACAACAAACAATTAGGAATCTTCAGATTGGTAAATCTCGTTAATTTTTTGTAACGGTTAATAATATTTTGGGTTTCTAAAATATGTACATTTTGCAAGTTTAGTCATTTTAAGTATCAATTTTATCAATTTGGTCTCTAAAGTATTCAATTCTTGTTTAAATAATCCCTACATAGACGGACCGTTAAGTTTTTTATAGAATAATCACTTGTTGAGCACGTAATACCGTTTAAAAGAATGATATGTGGTCACTTCTCTAAAAAAACTTAACGAATTTGTCTAATTAAATACTATAATTACACGAATTAAAATTTTAAAAACTAAATTGACAAAATTAATATAATAAGAACCAACAAATATACTTTATAGATTAAAAATATTATTAACTCTTTTTTTTTTTTTTAATGAGACCCACTCGTCTAAATATTTCTACTTATAAGATCCAACATACTTTCCTTGCAAAATTAATGCAAGTTGATAAAGGTCATACCTTACCTTTTCAATAGTAAAATTGTCGAGACAAATGAGCCCTAAAAAAAAAAAAGGAAGGCGGCTTTACGAATAAAATGAGGTTTGCTTGTTAGATTCGATTTTCATTTTAATAATAAGTTAATAGAGCACATGACCGACCCGAGAAATAAGCCACTGAGGTAGCTGTCTAGGCCCTAGATTTATTTTTTTTAAAATAGAAAAAAAACTCGAAACATACTTTTTAAAGTCCTGCGTTTTAACCCCTTTCTTTTTTTCTTTTTTTTTTCGCGGCCTTACTCAGATTTTAACATAATTTAGAAAATATTCATATTTTCCTAACACAATACTTTTAATGTCTCGATATCAAAATCTATTGATTGATAAGTTACAAATTGTAACTTTTTTTGTTTCTTTCTTTAAATTTGAGGCTCTTTCCTCTAATTTAGGTTAATCTTAAAAGATAGTTTAATAGAGGTAGAGACGAATTTTAAATTCAGATATGTTGAATTTAAAACTTTACAACTCCCTTAGAGTTGAGTAATGAAAGAAGATTTCGGTATGAATAACATGTATTTGATCAAATCAAAAAGAAGAATAGATTAATGAATATGCGTATAAGCTGACATGTATATCCCTCGCCACAAAAAATAAAGAAAAAAACTGAAGTTCAAAAAGCAAAGTGATTAAGAATAACACACAACCCAAAAAAAGGAAGAAAAAGTCATAACTATAAACAAAGTGATAAAGAATAACTAAAAAACAACTACTACATCATTCCAATTTTTTCCAAAAGTATTTGCTTGCCTCTGGCCGTTCTAATATAAAGTAATTAGATCTAATTAAATTATTGTCTGTTGTACGACAATAGTTCGTGAAATTTTTTTTAATAATTAGAGTTCTTATTTTGATATTATGTTAAATGATTATTTACTCTAAAAATTTAAATTATTAGAGATAGATATTTACCATGAATTTTAATCGGGATTGATTACGTATAATCGCATCATTCACTTATTAATAATAAATAAATTGTTATATATATATATATATATATATATATATATATATTGACAAACTTAAATTTAACAAGGTCAAACCCAATTAATGAGTTAAGCCCAAAACAGTTACAATGCGGGTCAAGTCCAACTCAGGGATTCGGCCCGGTCCAGAGTTCAATGAGTTTAGAAGAATTAGAACAAGTGAGAAGTAATTATCGGGATACTCATTCTCGAAAATTAAGACAACCTTTAATTGTACTTACCTTTTATAACTTCTCGATGATCTAGTACCTTTACTCTCACGTCACCGACTCAACTAAAACTCTGTGCCTATAAATTATAAGTTCTCTCTACATGATAACACTTCTCTACACACCCCACACATCGCTTTTCTCTCTCCTAGCTATTGTATCTTTCTTGGGGCTAAATATTGTTCTCTTTCGTTTATCTTACTTAATCATTAAAAAATTCACCCGCCACCGTTGTCGTTTTTAAAAGTGGAGTAAGTCATTCAAACCGAACCACTATATATCTGCGTGTTGACCCGATATTTTACATTATTGTTATTGATTGTTCTATTAATTACAACTTATCACAAATTCGACTGTTGATTTTACACGAGACTATATATATAAGGTTGATAGTCAAGTAGCGTCTAAATAACTTGTTTTCTTAATTGAGTCTAAAAAATTATTTAAATTTAACTTATTTTCTAAACGAGTCAAGCTTGAATGAGGTTAAAATAAGCCGAGCTCGAGTAATTGAACATAAACGAATTGAGTCTATCAAGTTCGGCCAAATTTTTCAAACTCATTTAAAAAATATTGTTCAAATTCAAGCAAAAAAATAAATTAAACCAGAGTCAAACTCAAATAACGCATGTGATTAACGGCCCCATGAATCCAAACACCGCCTCCGCTAAAAACGTTTGGTTCCGTGACGAAGCTTTTTCTTTACAAGTGTCACATGCCACGACACGTGCTTCCTCCTCGAGATTGTCTCCCCAAACAACCTGCTTAGGCCTTTTATACGTATCAACTTGTATTTAGCAGTGCAAAGATTATTTATTTGAAATAATTTTTCATTTTAGAACAAAAATAATAGAAAATATTAAAAAAAACAATCAATCTTGTTCTAAGTCGTTTCTTTTTGAATTTCACAGGCAGTTCTAACACTGTAATGTTGAGAACGTTGGCCGTTTGATTTTTTTTTTTTTCAAGTTTTAGCATAATTAAGCTCGAGCTACTTGACTAAAATTGATAATTTATGTTGCTCAAACTTGATTGTCAAGTTCGGATGTTTGATCAAGTTATGCTCGATTTCTTCCTCATATGTTTGACACATTTTATATTCCTAATTCAAATTCGAGATAAAGTTTGAGTGAGTCTAAAAATACACAACAAATAAAGATATAAGTCAACAATCTTCTAATAAGAAATCAAATACGCTAAATACTAAAATTAGTTTATTGTCTGTGCCTGAAGACACGGTAATAAAAAATGGTCAACAATAAGTATATTTGTATTCATATCCAATATCAAATCACAAACATAACAGAGAGATAAATGAATTTAAGCATCGGTTGTAGTGGGGATGAGAGTTGGTGGAAGACAGTAGTGGTGGTAGTAGACGAGCGATGGTTGTGGTGGGTGGCAATGACCATGGTGGCAACGATAGCAATGGTAGGGTGGCGACGATGATGGTGGTGGCAATAGAGGTAGTGGTGAGACAATTTCAAAAACAATTTTTTTTTAAATTACTTATAAGAAATAATTTCTATAAGTACTTTTAAGAAGTCAATTCAAACACACCCTTATGAATTTATTTTTCTTATTAAATTTAGGGTATTAATATTAGTCGTTAGATTAATTTTAAAATAAAATTTAAAGCGATCTGAACCGCGAATAGCAAAAGTCATTTAGTTTATCTTTTAAAATTTGAATTATAAACTATTTTATTATACAGAAGATATATTATTATTTCTTAATCATAAAAATATTTATCAATTACATTTATAAACAAATAGATCTTAGATCTACAAAATCGAGCAAACTATCGTTTAAATTTGGCTTAAATATTAAACAAGTTTTAAAATAAATAATGTTTAATTTGTTTTGAACAAACTCAAGTAGTTCATATGCTTTAACAACCCTACTTAGAAAATATGTCATTTTTCACGTTTAAATAAAATTAGCAGTTTTTTATTAGAGAAAGTATTGAATACATCGTGTCATCACATCATCACTGCAACTGCAACGTGATATCACTGTCCAATTAGAAACTGACAAGGAGATACAGTGAACTCTATTAATTTTACGTGTTGACGATTAAACGTGGTAGTTACCGCCAGTAATTAAACCCTTACCAGTCTCTCAGTATCCTGGAAACCAAACAGTCCCAATTCGATACAAACAAAGCCAACCACCACATACCAAACACGTTTATAAATATTAAAACATTCTCGAACGACTCTGTCTTTCTCTATAGCCATCACACTCTTCGTGCTCTCCGCCTCTCTATCTCTGGTTCTTCTGAGTATCTCTCAGATCTCTTTCATTTGATCTGCAATGGCTACTGTTATCGGATCGTCGACTTCCTTCGTCTCTCTCTCATGCTCTCTCAAGCAAAACCAGGTAATATATATACACATACATCTATATGATTAATACTTCTATATGTCTTCGATTTGATTTAGTAAATAGTAATGGCTCTCATTATTCATGTTATATTTTTTTTTTTAATTGTTTTTTTTGTTGCCAATTATCGAATTGATAGCTCTAATTTTGTTGATAATCATAGGTTGATAGATAATCTTTTGTTATAATTGGATCTGATGAAATTCTGTATCTGTTTGTCCAAATATTTAGATTGTTAACCTCCTTAATAGAAATGTTTTGACAGAGTCACAAGGTGGAAGAATGCTATTTTGCACCATGTGGTCAAAAATTTTGGGCGCAATTAACGATCTGTACCTTTATTAATTAAATCGCGATTCCATTTTTTTTCTTTTAATTTGGAGTTTCTTTTGCTTTGTTCTTAATATTTTGTCCCTAAAAATGTAGTGAACCGTCAAAGTTTCAAATTTGCTCCCTTTTTCCGCCCTGAAACTGCTCCTTTTGTAACAGGTTTTGTTTTATGTTTTCTGTTTTTGTTTTCAGTTTTGCCAAAAAAAAAAAAAAACGAAAAAGAACGTTTGGGTTGTGTTTCCATTTTTTGCCAGCTAATTTGTTTGGAAAACAATGCAAACAAAAAACATGGGGCATATTTGATTTGCGTTTCAAAAAACCGTATTCGAAAATAATTTTTGAGAAGAGTTTTAAGAAACTAGTTTTGATATTTTTTGAGATAAAAAACTTGTTTGGTTAGATGATTTCAAAAATAATTTTATAATACAGAAAATAGTAAAATCTGCTTGGACAGCCTAAATATATATTTGAACTGTAATTCAAATATTAATAAAAAAATATAAAAAATTTATTTTTAGATCGACAAAAAAAATATATATAAAAACAAATATATATATACCCACATCTGAAGATTCAAAATTGTTCTCCTTGTTTCCAAATTTTTTTTTAAAATTTTTGAAACAAGCTACACTTGTTTTCTGTTTCTTTGACTCGAATCTCATTTTTTTTCCAAAATTTAGAGAACAAAAATGTTAAACAAACAGGTTTTAAGTGTTTTTGAAATTTTGAGAATAAAAAACTATTTCCTAGATGATAACTAAACACGGCCATGATGTTTTCAAAAACACCCAAAATCACAAACAAGCGCACATGCCAAGGGAGAATTTTAATGAGGTCCATCCTTCGAACCCCCTTAGCACCAAAATGAAGGATTTTTGTTAGAACTATAAAAGCCCCCTTATTTCCTTCTTATCTCTCTCTCTGTATCAAATGAAGAACCTGAAGGTCAGCTCGAAATGCATATGTATGCCTAGATCTTCATATATATTGTATAATATAGATATATCCGTGTTGGTGTGTGTAAGTGTGGATTTGTAGCTCGCAATGCATATGTATGCCTAGATCTGCATATATATTGTATAATATAGATAGATCCGTGTGTGTGTATTTATGTGTGTGCAAGTGTGGATCTGTGTGTGTGTTTGTGTGGGTGTGTCTACGTGTTTTGGGCCTGTGTATGGGTTTGGTTTACCTCTTTTTTTAAAATTTCAGTTTGTTTTTCTGGTAAAGTTGCTATTACATTTTATAACTTCAAGTGGTTACGAAATGTGTTTCTTTTTTGTTTTTATAATTTGTCAAACATAAATGACTATCAAATATATTTTATGTTTTTAGTTTTAACCATAGAAAAAACACAAAGTTACCAAATGCACCAAAAAGTTTTTCATGGCATCTTAAAATTGAGAGTCGTGTCAATTTCAAATGTTATTTTTTGTAATTAAAAAAATGGAAAGGCAAAAGGAGAAAGTAATAGGAAAAATGAATAATTTTCTGGCATTTCCTTTTTCTATTAATTTTTTTTCCCCTTTCTTATGTAAGTAATTTGTTTTAGAAAAGATTGTTAGTAAGGAAATTTGTTTATTGTGCAATGCCTCTCCTGGTTTACTAAATTGTTGTCGTTGAATTGAGCAGGCACTAAACCGGGTCTCAAAATTGAATTCAGTGTCTCTTTGTGTTAATGGAAAAGGCTTCCCATCGCTCAAGTTGAGGCCAGCACCACTTCGCTTTCGGGTTTGCTGCGAAGTATGTATCTTAATATCAAGTGTTGTTGCTGTATTTTAGCTTTCTTTGCCTGACTCAATACTTATGTGTCATTGTTTGAGTTTTTTGAACTCGAGCGATGCAGAACCTTAGCTTTTGCTTGTAAGTTTGCTCTTTATCAATGTCTTAAACTGCCATAATTGTTGGTCCTTTTATCAAGCACTTTATTTGGTCATGCAACTTCATGTGTCTGCATGATGAGTTTCTCTATAGCTCTTGCTATCATCTTCATCAGATGCTTAACACATATCTGTTTTTAGGATATGGTAGTGCATAAAATTAAAGTGGAAACCTATGATGATCAGTACATGATTGATAGCACCTAGGAAGAAAGTGTGGACCTATTTTTCAGTCTTTGCCACCAAACTAATTGCTCTATAGTCTCATGGATTGGTTACAAAGACATGCAACTATTTAGGAATGCTACTTGGTTGGTTTATTTGATCATTTGCTGTACCTTTAGCAATATGGATCATTTTGGAAGGTGGTTGGATCATCGATGTGCTTCCATAATGTTGTGCTTTACTTGCCATATTTTCTCAAGATGTTGAATTCAAAGGGTGCTCATGCTATAGATATATTAATGTATTTAGTTTCCAGGGACCATGCCTTGTTCATTCTGCTTTGCATCCATGTAGCATGGAAATTCGTCAACACTTCAAGATATTTTCTTGTGACTAACAACATTGATATTCTCTTTTGAGCAGGCCAAACCACACACCGTGGACAAAGTGTGTCAAATTGTGAGGAAGCAGCTTGCACTACCAGATGACTCTGCAGTCACTGGAGAGTCAAAATTTGCAGCACTTGGGGCTGATTCTCTTGACACGGTATCATATGTCTAGCCATGAACTATCATTTTTGTAAATTTGCCTCTTAAATGGTTTTATCTTGTACAATTTATCTTTTCGGCATTATTTAATGGTTTTCCCAAGTTAGCTTCCCATTTTTTAGTCTTGCATAGAATAATGATTTCATCTTTTCTTTTTCCCCCCTGAAATAGTCATTAATTTTGTTCTTCCTTGTGCATTCAGCTTAACAACTACTATCCCTCCCAACAAAAAGGGACATGTCTTACTGCATGATTTCAATCATTTTGATTTTATTTTTTCATGTTCTCAATTGGATACCTGATTGCCGTTACATTTGCCTCATTTTACATAACATACATTAAAATATGCAATTGGGCTTTGGACTAGGCTTTGCAAATATTTATTTGGTGACTATGCAAAAATGTGGGCCAATCCCAACTATGCAGTATTCGTAACTCATTTCTTTGGTTGTTTACCGGTTCTTCTCATATAATTGCTATCTTTTTCCCATCGAGTGGTTGCAACAGAAGTTTTCCTACAATTATTATTCATAGTGATTGATTGATCTCTCTTTTTTCCTTGCAGGTTGAGATTGTGATGGGACTTGAGGAGGAATTTGGGATCTGCGTGGAAGAAGAAACTGCCCAGAGCATCGCCACTGTTCAAGATGCGGCAAATATGATCGAGAAGCTCATCGAGAAGAACTCTGCTTAAAAATGGTCAAAGCGAAAAACCCAGCAATTCGGATTACCAAAGACAGTTCTTTTTAGTTGAATATTTATCAAAACCTTTGTTGCACTTGGTTACGATTAGCTTCATCAAGATGTTCTCTGTGCTTTTGTTTTTTCTTCAACAAAAGCCTAATAAACATGGTTCTGTGTCGGTTTGTTTTGTCAAACTTCAACCGAGAGTCTATCTACATGTGTCATATACTCTGTTATGTAATTGTTTTTGTTTTTAGCTACAACTGCTCTTTTTAATGATGGTATTATGGTCCTATGAGATGTGGTAGTGATTCATTGTTGCTAGTTAGAATTAGCCGTCAGTCTTTGAGGTCGCCTTCATTGCTTGACAGTAAAATACTAGATGTCGGATTGTACACGGGAATGATAATGTTGAGGCCATCGAAGATTTCAAGTTCGAAACAAAGGTGGTGTGCAGATGTTTTTAATTCAATCTGACAACATACGAGATTGACTCAAAGTTATCAAGTATGACTTTAATTCTACCAAGTTTGAATCATAATCAAATTGAGTAAATTTTGACACGATTTAATATTTATATGATTTAGACATTGGCACTACACATGCATTTTCCCAAGCACAACTATAATGGGAGTTTCACCCTCAATAAAAAAAAAAAAAAACACTACTACATCATTATAGAATGAGATAACAAGCACTGAGTAGTCCATAGACTCGTTGAGCACTGTTCTTATTATGGAATTTTATAAATGGAGTTAAATTGTAGCTTGAGTTTGTCATAAAAGAAAAAGTATAAGAGGGAGGGAGGGAGGTAAGAGGAGACGGAGAAGGATGGCAAAGGCCCATATCAACCTAACCCACGCCGGATACGCCCCATAAAGGGACCAAACAAAGATATGATTAGTTAACACAATATAAAATTAGAGACTTTGAGTCTTTTTTAACTCATCCGTTTTATAAGCGAGTGGACTCTGACATGACATGATTAATAAACGAATCAGATATGAGTAAACTCAATCAAAAATAATACACGATACAAATCGTTTATATACCAATTATATACAATTTATAGATGACACGAACTCAATATAACACGAATTATTAAATATAAAATAATAAACGAATCACATTTGAAATAAATATTTTTTGACACCAACTAATTTTATTTAACAAGATTGATAGATATATATCTAGGGGTTAAATGTGTCAATTTGAATTGTATTGTGTGATATGCTTATTATTATTTTACCTTGGGTTATAAGTGTTAAATATTAATATAATTTATTTATTATGAGTATTTATTTATTAATTTGTTAATTTTGAAGTATATGTTGCCTACTGCTCAAAAAAAAAAAAGTATATGTCGCCCAACTCGGTGCATTCAGCACCGCCACAATAATTAAACAGACAGAAGGACCCTCACGCGCATGAATTGCCATACTCCAAGGGCACGTTTGGCAGCGGGAAATTGTGCAATACTCCATTACCGTTTAAGTTCTTATTTTTTATTTTTTTATTTTAAGTACATTGGAAATAGAAATTTCCTTTTTTTTTATTTCCTATTTATTTGGGTTTGATCTATTCTTATGTAATTACGTGTATTAATTATATACTAAGATGTATGTAGAATAATTTATTAAAACTTAATTAAACATATTTTATTTTTTCATTAAATTATTTTTTGATTAAATATTAAAAAAATACAAACTGTAACTAACATTTTGTCTACACAGGATAAGAATAAACTATTTATTTTGCATGCAGGAAAAAAATTTAAAAGTAATAACATATAAGGGAGGTTATTATTTCAATTAATTAGTATTAGGAATTATTGGATAAACAAATATTAGAAATTACTTATTTATATTTATAAATACTTCAATATACTTTTTTCATTCTCTTTCCCACAAAAATATATTTGAAAACTATTTTTCAAAAAATTTATTTTTAATCCAAAATGGCGGAACAAAAAAGGATTAACAAAATTAAAGCGAGCTCCAATTATCCCACGTTTGAAAAAAAAAAGTGATGAAATATCCCATTCATATTTTCTCTTGTCCTCGATACGAATAATGCGTTTTTAACTTTTATCCTGCATAAATGGGTTAAATGTAACCCATCAAGAGAGTGCTCGACATTGGATTCTCATTAGGATATTTTAGTAAAATAAAATGAAACCATGAGTTGAGATTACTACCGTTAATCAAATTGAATTACTCGAGTTTGATTTGAGTTTGACTCATTCAGACTCAGTTCGTTTTTTAAACGAGGCCGAACTTGAACAAGTTTTTAGATTCATTTAAAAAACAAGTCTTACAAATTCGGTTTGATTCATTTACGTACAAATACTCCGGCTCAGCTTGGGCTTGATTTATTTTTGGCTCGTTCAGGTTCGGCTCGTTTCTTAAACAAGTCAAACTTGAATAATTTTTTAAACTCAATTAAGAAACAAATTTTTCAAGTTCGGCTCGAACTCGACTCAGTCTCGTTCAACTAATAGCCTTAGGTGGCATAAAAAAACAAGATATTTTCAAGAAAAAAGTGGATAATAAATCCAATTGATTGAGATTGAATTGACTTATAAAATTCAATCCAATCCCAACAACCAAGTCTCATTTGGTAACTTTTATGTTTTTTGTTTTTATTTTGATATTTAGAGAAAACAAGAAAAAAAAACTTGTTTGATAACCTTTTTTTTTTTTTGTCATCGTTTGTAAACGAGGAGCGATTTTCAAAAATAAGAAAAAAAATTTTTTGTTTTTTGATTCTGTTTTTCTTGTTTTTTTTAAAAAAAAATCAAAAATCGTAAACATTTCCAAACGGAGTGCTCATTCAAACTTTAAAGTTTTTTTTCTCGGGTAATTGTTAGACTTTAAAATTTAAAATTACTAATCTTGTTATCTTTCTCACTTGTAATAGTGTGTATATAAAAAAAAATAGTTAATTACATTAGAGGTCTTTAAATTATGTAATTAATCTCATTTTGATCATTAATATTTTAATTACATCACTTTAATTCTTGAAGTATTATTCTACGTGATCTCTCAAGTAGACAATATCAAGAATGTTCGTATATTTTTATTATAAATGCAAACTCAAATTATTTAATAAATACAACTTAAATTATTTTTTGTCTATATTTAAGTATTACATGATAAATTCATAATAAAAAATTATTAACAATTTAAATATTGTCTATTTGAGGAATTATATAAAAATATATTTAATATTTTAGGAACTAAAATGTTATAATTAAAATATTAAGGACCAAAATAAGATAAATTATATATTTTAGGGACATCATGTGTAATTAACCCTAAAAAAATAATCTAAACAATATGTACTCGGATGTAGAGTGGCACGCTGACCCAAAAAAGAAAGATCTATAGTGTGGCACGTATACAGAAGTCCCTGGCACACGCGCGTGTAGAAACAATTCCACCAGTTTTTGGGGAACACCGCTCGCCATTTATGACTGATCAGTGCTGGATAAACTGGCCACTCACTCTCTCTCTCTCTCCAAGGGGTGTTCTGAGGTAAACCCTAAAATTTAACCATTTTTCTTCATCCATAGTTCTGTATCAGATTTTGTATGATCTCATTCTTGTTTATGTTATTCTGCTTTGGATTCACTAGAGAATCTAAATGTTGGTTTGTCTTTCATTTTTTTCACCATTGATCGTTTTATAAATTAGCTTTTATCTTTTCCATTCACCAGAGAATCCAAATACTTGTTTTGACTTCCATTTTTTCGCAATCGATCGTTTTATATATAGCTTAATCTACGCGCCGATCAAAAGCTTCCTTTGTTGTTCTTTTCGTTTGGATGATAATAATTTTCAATTTCTTACTAATTTTTGGAAAATCAGCATAATATACACAGTTCATGGATATAGAATCAACCTCTGATGTTAGAGATCTAGTGTTTGTGTGCGAATTTCTCTACTTGGGAGTTAGAATGACATGTCTGAGCTTTCTTTTCTCTTAAACGATTCGAATAATCGAGATTCTTTTGAATGCTGAGTAGCTTGGGAATGATTTCTATTTATTAAGTGCTATCAGATGTGATGGTTTTGTTATTTAGTGAAACAATTCGAGTATATGTGGGTTTTATTAAGCTGTAAATTATTTTATGATAGATAAGATCTGTTGGTTGTTATTGAATGGACTGATTAAGAAAATTTGTCTTGGTCTTGACATCTTGATGCATTATATTAGTAGTTGGATGTGTGCAGGGCGGAGCTAGAAATTTATAGTAGTGGGGGTAGATTCTAACAACAATAATACCATATATACTTAATCTGGGAACTTTATTTAGAGACTTAATATATTGCTATCATTGGTTTAGCAAAGAGACGACATTTAACGATGATACTGAGGCCTGGATATAGGGAAAGACGGTGAGAGAGGGGGGGACTAGATATAGGGAAAGAGTACCAAGAACTTAGAATGGTTTTTTGAACACATGTCGCGGGATTCAACTAGATAAACATTTATAGGTCCACTTAATTGAGAGTTGAGAAACTTACTCCAAATATAAGAGATGATTACACAGATTAAAGTGTATGAGAATTTTTTGTGGGGGCAAATCTAGGATATATTGAAATTTATCTAAAAATTAATTTGCAAAAAAATATTGAGTGGGGACTATTGCCTACACATAAGCCTATATGGCTCTGCCCCTGGGTGTGTGTACTTGTGTTGGCAGTACTATAATCATTGGAGAATGTATATGTCATTAATTGATAAACTTGAATTTATTGAAAATGATTGGAATCCTTTTAATGGCACTTCGGTCTATCTAAGCCAGTTAGACTGGAATATTTTAACACTTGTGGTATACTTTCGGTGGCATTTGATTTGTCAGTTACACAGGAGCACAAAACAAGCAAGCCTTGAAAGCTTTCTCTGGTTGAATTAGTGCTTCTAGCGGAGGGGGGTTGGTGGTGATAATCGTTGGTGCTTTCTCTTGATCTCACTTTTTTGGGACTTCCGTTTTTATTTTACGTGGATTTCCTATTTACTTTTGTCCTCCTGTTTGGGTTTCTGCATGCACGTCTATAATCATGCATATTCCCAAAAACCTCACAGAGCAAATACTTGGTGTTGTTGGCTCCCATTGTAAATGTGACTAATAAGAGCTTGTTATTATAAGTTTCGGTTGCAAACTGAGCTATAACAGTTCCAGGGGTGGGGGTACATCATAGCTAACTAATAAGACAGTGTTATTGTCATTTGTTTAGATCACATACACAACAATGGTGAAAGGTGTTGCAGTTCTCAGTAGCAGTGAGGGTGTTAGTGGCACCGTCTTTTTTACCCAAGAAGGAGATGGTAATTAAGTTTAATGATGGTTATAGTATTCAACTTGTGTGTATCAACATGTCAGTGCACATGGAATTACAACTATTCTATTTTTTCTATTCCTCAGGTCCAACTACAGTTACAGGAAATCTTTCTGGCCTTAAACCTGGACATCATGGTTTCCATGTCCATGCTCTTGGAGATACAACAAATGGCTGCATGTCAACAGGTAATCTTGGGGAATTTCATGCTCATTTGAGTATTTTTATCCATGAAGGACTGGAATTTGGTTTTAATCATGTCAATTTGTAGGGCCACATTTCAATCCTGGTAGCAAAGAGCATGGTGCACCAGATGATGAGAATCGCCATGCTGGTGATATTGGCAATGTTACAGTTGGCGAAGACGGTACATACTGTTTATTCACAACGGAAATTTGTCCACATCACCAATACCACAGATATCTGTTGCTATATTTCTCTTTACTAGTACTAGTACACATTGTAATCTTTCCTTTTTAATCAGAGTACTTCGTATAGCTACTGTTGTAGTTTATCAGTGTACATATCACCACTGGTAGTGCAATTTAGTTTTCGTGGTTACTGCTGTTGGAGGGGAATTTCTCCTACGTGAGAGCCCAACATCAAACAATAAGACTCTTCCTGGAGTGTGAATCACCTATCTCAGAGAGTCATCTGCCAAACTTGTTCTTCATGAGTCATTGAATCGATATTCCACGAGAATCCGTGCTATTCCCTCTGTTTTCTGCATCAACGGTCCAAACCCGTTATTGTGAATCCAGGAACCTGCACCATTCTTTCCAAGAGCCACTTGGCAGCACTGCTTTGAGAGTTGCATCAGGATCACCAGACAGACCATTGGCTCTCATACCACCTGTTAGGGGGACTAGAGGATCCAATGAAGTCCAAATATACCGATTGCAAACCAATCTTGACCCAAAAGTTTAAGGCTTTGAATCTTGTGCTTATCCATGTGTAACAGTCCCTCCAATTCACTCTCTTCATCCAATGTGAAATGCCTTCTTGCTCAATTGGGACCCTAACAGAAATTTATGGGAGAAAGAGTTACCATGTTTGGTTCTATGGAATTTTTGTACAATTTTTGTGTTGCATTGTTGTTATAAATACCCCCGCCACTTTTTTTTTAATTGGTTCCGAAATGCATCTTGTAAATTTATTTTATGCCATACAAAATGCATGCAGCTCTGACATGTTGTCATGACTTATTTATGCTTCAGGTACTGCTTGCTTCACTATTGTTGACAAGCAGGTGAGTTCTTGTTAGTTTAACATTCAGATAAAGCATATTATGTACTTTGTTTCTACAGATCTCTCAGATATGGGCTATTGTTTGCAGATTCCACTCTCTGGACCACATTCCATCATTGGAAGGGCTGTAGTTGTCCATGCTGACCCTGATGATCTGGGAAAGGGTGAGCTTTGATTTTGTAACCCCTACCTTTCTTTCATAGTAGCCCTAAAGTAAACCATTTATCTTCCAGTTTAGCTATCCGTAAAAAAAACCATAATTCACGGTTAGTAAACGGTCGCTAGAGATTTCTGTTCAAATATAGTTGACTTGATTGCAAGCTCCAAACTGTTGCATCCTATCTCATGATGTTTTTGTTTTTTGATAATGATTCTCTCCTGTGTTCCCCAATCTTATGAAAGCCCTTTAACTTCTACCTCTGTTTGTTCAGGAGGCCATGAACTCAGCAAAAGCACTGGAAATGCTGGTGGAAGGGTTGCCTGCGGTAAGTAATATGATTATTAACTGATGGGTTCATTAGACATACAATAGCTATATATACATCTTGAATACAAAAGCTTATTGCTGATGACTCCTGAAATGACCTGTATGGATGTGTAATGCATTGTCATCGCCAAAAATCAGCCGAGAGTAAAAGGAAGATTAATGTTTCTCTTGAAATCCCAAATTGATCTTAGAAAATCATATATGCTAACAACTCATGTAAACCTTTAAATCAGCAGAAACCGTATAAAATGATAATTGATGACATACCTAGGAATGTTGAGTGTCCATTTTTGATGAAACTCTAGTTGATATTTACTGTTTTAATTTCTTCAGGAATCATCGGTCTGCAGGGTTGATTAGCTATTCGGTAGTGCTAGCTGGTCCCTGTGCTCAAATGCATGGCCTTCTGATTGTGGAAATCCAGCTAGCACTGATGGATATTTTGAAATAAATGTTTGTTTTGAATGTATGAACCTGTTTCTGTGGTTTTATCCTTTGCTTTTGAGAGTTTTTAAGAGAGGGGGGGGGGTGCTTATGTACTACTTAAAGTTGCTAAATAATAAAATGAGCCCTGATATGATCAGGGAAATTACACTTTTTGGACTAATGATTAGAAATCCTGGCCATGCTCTTGATTTGCATTGTTGGTTTTAAAGCTTTTTGACAACTCTCATCCCTTTCACCTTTACTTTATCTCTATTTTGGAGATACTGATTTTCAGATTTGACATAAAAAAAGTCGGGTTGGAACACTAAATGTTTCTTAGTGGTATTTAGCGTATGTTGATTGATCCCATTATTATTCTATGGTATACTATTTTGATTTTTTTTTTTAATGGAATCCCTCAAAAAAAAAAAAGAGTTAATACCTTCGATGGGAATGCTAGTGTACTGTTTGTGCAAATTGTTTGTCTGGGAATGGACACAAATCGTGTCCAAAAGGAAATACGTGGACACTAGGTTGTGTGCAATGTAATATAAGGTTTTGGGGTTAGTGGTTGGTTTAATAGTCACCCTTATGAAATTATTGATTTTTAATTTAATATTTTTCAAATTATTAATATTAAAACAGGGCTCTATGAATAAATCTTAATTTTAAAGTTGTGCAAACTACAAAGGTCTCTCACTTAACTTGTTTTCTAAAACCAACATAGAAGATCTCTCATTTGAGTATTAATGTTGAAGTATATGATTATTTAATATGGTATCAGAGTTGGGTATTTTGTGTTCTAATAATTTTATCAATGTAATAATTAAACGATTTTTACGTGCCAGACTCAAAATTTAATATAAAAATTGGTATCTATATCAGAGTTAGAGTATTTGTTGAAGAGATTGCTTGGCATGGGTAGAGGTATAGCTAGGGGTGTCCATGGACCGGGCCAAGTTAGGCCCGTGAAATTTTTTTTGGGCCACGGGCCGAGTAGTGTAAGCCCAAATTCTTATCTAAGTGAGTTATTAGACGGGTCAGACTGGGCTTTAGGTAGGAGTAGGTTATTCATAGCCCAACCCCTGAGCCTATTGGATGGGCTTGTGGGCGGGCTTTTTTATATACCTCTTTATTTAAAAATAATGAATATTTTTATAACTTAATATTTGTGTAAATTATATTTTTGAATCAATAGTAAAGTCAATATTGATAAAAATAAAATAATGAACTACATCCAATAGAATAAATAAATCCTAACTAGGTTAACACCTATTAACTTATCTATCATTTATATTATTCTATAATTTAAAATTTATATATTTAATACATGAAAAAGAAAATAATACATTATTTATAATATCTAAATTTTTAAAATTTCAAATTTCGATATTGGAAGATTTATTTCAAAGTTTCAAATTTAATGATATAAATGTATAATTTTTTTTAAAGGAAAGGTGGGTTGGGTTGGGCTTGCGTGCGGGTTTTTTTTGGCCAGGCTTCGAGTCGGGTAATGGGTTTAGAGACCAACCCAAACCCTATTTTTAAGGATATTAAACTCAGACTCGGGCGGCCAACTATCGAGCCAATCGGATTTCCGATCTATTTTTTTTCGGGTCGGATAACAGAAACCGTGGGAACCCGGCCTAGGTATAGCCAGTGTCCATAAGATTTGATAGAGAGTTTAACAAATCCGTTCTTTGGGCGCTTGTTACTGAACTAGTGAAAAAGAAAGAAATTATATCTTCACTTAGATCAGCAGAGTATGGCGCAAATTCAGTTCAAAACTGTCAGGAGCATGTTAAAATATAAATATTAATTTAAATTACTCTCTCTCCAAAAACACTTGGGATAAATGGTTTGTTTAACAATTCACAACTGCTGGAGCTTTGAATTCAAATGTATGAAGGAGATAGAAAGGAGTTCTTCAACAAGAATGCTTGCTTGCAGCTCAGAATACGTTGGTGGGCCACTTTGATACTTTTTCATGTCATTACATGCGTTCACATTTGGTTCACATTACTTCTAAGATTACAGCTCTTGCAAGATCAGGCTGTATAACCTGTGCTCGCAAACTGTTCGATGAAATGCCTAATAAAGACTTGATTGCTTGGAACTCAATGCTTACTGGCTATTGTCATCTGGGTCTTCACCAAGAGGCTCTTTCGTTGTTCAATAGCATGAGAGTCAACAATAGCAAGCCCGACGACTTCACATTCACCTCTGCAATGAATGCATGCGCAGGCTCGTTTGAGCTTTGCCATGGGCGAAAATTACATGCATTGATTATTGTTTTGGGATATGATTATTCAGTGCCAGTGAGCAATTCTCTTATTGATATGTACGGGAAGTGTTTGAGCCCCTGTTGTGCCAATAGAGTGTTTGAAGGGATGGGTTTGAAGAATGAAGTGTCATGGTGTTCACTATTGTTTGCATATATGAATGCTGCACAGTTTGGCAATGGTCGTAGTGTGTTTGAGGCAATGCCAAAAAGGGTGGAGATTGCTTGGAATACTATGATTGCTAGTTATGCTCGATGTGGTGAAATTGAAATGTGTTTTGAGATGTTTAAGAAAATGTTAGAGAATTCCTGCTGCCCAGATCAGTGGACGTTTAGTGCCCTAATGAATGCTTGTGCTGAGGCGCAACAATTTCGTAATGGCTGTATTGTGCATGCTTTTATTGTCAAAAGTGGTTGGAGCTCGGCAGTGGAGGTAAACAACTCGAACCTTAGCTTTTATGCTAGATTAAGTGGCCGGGAGGATGTTGTGAAGGTGTTTAAGTCCATTCGAACTGTAAGTCAAGTGTCCTGGAATGCGATAATTGATGCTCATATGAAAATAGGAGACACTCAGGAAGCATTTCTTGCTTTCAAGCAAGCGCCTGAGAAAAATGTTGTTTCATGGACATCAATGATCACTGGTTATGCAAGAAATGGTCATGGAGAAAAAGCCATATTTTACTTCGCCGATATGCTGAGAAATGGTCTCCAACCGGACCATTTTACATTTGGAGCTGTTTTGCATGCTTGTTCTAACTGGGCAACACTAGGCCATGGCAAAATGGTCCATGGTTGTGCAATCCACTGTGGTTTCCATGGCTATGTTTATATTACCAATGGTTTGGTTAACATGTATGCGAAGTGTGGGGACCTAGAAGGTTCAAGCCGAGCATTCAGTTATATCCTTGAGAAGGATTTGATATCATGGAATACAATGTTGTTTGCATATGGGTTGCATGGAGGGGCTATCCAAGTTCTACAACTTCATGAAGATATGATCTCATCAGGATTTGAACCGGATAAAGTGACCTTCATAGGATTGCTGATGAGTTGCAGCCATTCAGGGCTTATAGAAAAAGGTAGGGCTTTTTTTGAATCAATGAGTTCAGTTTATGGACTAACCCCCGAAACTGATCACGTGGCTTGCATGGTGGATATGCTTGGTCGAGGTGGATACTTGGACGAAGCAAGAGAACTGGCTAACAAGTATCTGGGAATGCATAGTGCAAGGATCAGCTCGAGTGAAGCTCTTTTTGGAGCATATTCTGCACAAGCTGACATAGGCATGGGAGCAGGGCTCGGGGAAGAGCTGCAAATTTTAGAGCCTCAAAATGAGATGAGCTATGTGTTGTTGTCAAACTTGTATTGTGCAAGTGGGCAGTGGAAGTCTGCAGAGATGGTAAGGAAGGCAATGGCTGATCAAGGGGTCAAGAAAATTCCTGGATGTAGTTGGATTGGCGTAGGAACAGAGGTAGCAGCTTTCGTGGCAGGGAGACATTCACAACCATATATGGAGGAGTTGTGTAAGATATTGAACTTTCTGGAACATGAAATGGGAAATCCATCCTCCATGGTTGGGATTGGATTTACCTAAATCAAGTTAGTTTCTTATAGGATAGGACATTGTTTTCAGTGGTTTGCTATACGAGATTTACATGTCCTTGCATTGTTGGTCCACTCACTCATTTAGAGTGCATTTGGCGCGACTCCCAGATGAGATTTTCGGGTCAAAAACTCCATTTAGAAAAATGTGGATTATCCAAAATCTATAGCTTTACCGGTCAGTATTTAGCCAAGGTAGACCAGCCATCTGCAAGCTTGGTGCTAACCCTCCTTAGCATCACCAATCTCTCTCCAGAGGGGAAAACTATTCAACACATTCGATGCCAGCTTCAGTTTCAAGATTTGTAGTAGCAGAACAATCCAATTGCATTCCTTTTGACCCCATCTGGTGTGCTGCTTGTACAGATTTTGAGCCCAAACACCAGTTTAGAGTAGAGGATAAGATTCAATTATTTTTCTATCAAAAATGTCAAGGGGACTTGTAGTTTGAACTTTGAAGTAGTAAACTAGACTTTCTGTTTCTTTTCTCATCTTCTTGCATCAGGTTATAGACGTGCCAAAAGATTCATTCATGTTTGCTTAATCAGGCAAGCCATTGGACAATGAAGTGGACACCAGAGGGGGGAGAAACAAGACACTGAAAGCTTTTCAGCATCCGAATGGTGAATAGGTAATGCTTTCTAAGTTTTTCTGCTCAGGATTGATTAGATAATGGCGTGCCACCAAAAGTCCAGCTGTTGATTCGGACTTGAAGAGGCCCAGCATAGTAGCATCTCAGGAACCAATGCAGAGGAAGCTGTGATCGGACAAACACCCAAACTGGACCTGATTGTCAAGCACCTCTTGAACAATTACTCCCTAATGATAGGAAAGAAGCTCACAGGATGGATCATAGAGCTGCTTGATTCTGGTTATTACAAAAGGAGCAGCTATGTCCAATGTCTTTTACTAATCCTTAACTTGTTTTTTGTTCACCCAGACAGAGTTCAGGACTTTCTTTTCGAAACCCATGGATACTGGTGGCTTTATTTGCATGAGGACTACCAATGGTATGCTTGGAAGTACGAAAAATGTCCAAAGTTTTCGCCAATGATTTGGCAGTATGTTTAGAGTTTTTTGATTTCCTGACAAGCCCAAGGCTACGGTACGGATGTGTCTCCAACGATCTTAGCTAGGGGTGCAACTTGGGCGGGTTGGACAATTAATTCTAGCCCAACCCTAGGTATAAAATTTTCAACCCTAATCCTAACCCTAACCTACCTCGGGTTGGAAAACTCAACCAAAGCACTGCCCAAGTTTAATTTGGGCGGGCTCGGGTTGAATTCGGATTAATGAATTCGGGTTGATTTCGGGTTATTTTACGGGCTTATTTTGGGTTACTTCAATCAAGTTTTTAACATTAAAATCATAATATTAAGAACTCAATGGAGAGATAACGCAACTATAACTAGAATCCTTGCACAACAGTTTAACATAAATAAACATAATCCTTGCACAACGGCACAAGGGGCTGCCACTGCCCACTGCTGTCAGTGTTATTTAAACAAAACACAAATTGCTGCTACTATAATTTAAACAGAATACAAACTGCTGTCACTTTAATTTAAACACTGCAATTTAAACAGAACACAAACACAAACAATCATTTCACACAAACAAAATTAAGGAAAGTTGCCCTGCCCAAAGCCTAATGACACAACAACTGTCATTGCCACCAGTCCACTGCTGCCACTGTTACCATAGCACAACCATTACCCACTTCAACCACTGCATAGCCATTACATCCATTAAGCAAAACAGATGACTCTCCAACACCTGAACTTGCATTATCATCCACGAACACTAGAAAAATAGAGAAGTGCAAGATGTTTAAAAAAGACAAAGAAATCATATAAATAGAATATGACAATATGTTACAAACATACCTTTATCCATCTCTTCCATATCTTCTAGCTTTTCTTCCATTTTAATGGTGGATGAATAGCTCTTTAGCCAATCTTGGGTACAAATCAAACTCTCAACAATCTTTGGAGTTAAAGAACTACGAAATGGATCAAGCACACGACCTCCCGTGCTAAAAGCGGACTCCAAAGCCATGGTTGATATATGAATTGCACAAATATCACGTGTCATGCGAGAAAGAACACGATATGAAGAGGTTTTTTCTTTCCACCATTTCAAAATATCGAAAGTCTGTCTTGATCCACTCCCAAACTCAACGGCATTGTCCAAGTAACGTTCTAACTCCGATTTAAGGACTTTGGTTTGCTCAATTTCTAAGAACTTACCCCAATCCACTACATCATCATCAAATACAACATTTAGATCCTCTGAAATATCTTTTCCAACATTAATGCCTTCTTGTGACGCATCAACATTATTTAATGAAGCTAATTCAACCGATGAGTAATGTTCATACAATTTATCCAACGTAACTTTCACCTTTTCAATGAACTCATCAACCTCATTACAAGTATATACTTTGGAAAGTTTATATCTCAAAAACATCAACTTGTAGTAAAGATCCAACACTACCGCAATAAGCAATAATGGATTAATTTTGTCACGATCACAATACTTCTTAAATTTCAACATCATTTTTCTTGATATCTCACGAAAGAATACACTGTCACTACTCAAAGATTTATGTAATAATACATGGATCCTCATCATTTCATGAAAATAAATGTTAGCAGTGACATATTGTGACCCAGACACACGCTTTGTAACAAGATAAAATTGTTTCAAAAATTTATGCAAGTTCTTTGCTGCCAACCAATCATCATCAGTAGGAGTCTCATTCTTAAGTTCAAGTGTGAAACTTCTATCTTGCTCTTCCAACCGGTCAAAAGCTTTTCGGTACTCAAGAGCGGTATCGAGCATATAAAAAGTAGAGTTCCACCGTGTTGGGACATCCAAACACAAAGATTTCTTGTATGAAATCTTCTCAATATCCACACATTTCCTAAACAGTTGATAGCGGGAAGAGGAACTCCTAACATATTTCACACCATCACGAATGCGAACAATAGCACTATTAACTTCATCAATTCCATCCTTCACAATTAAATTCAAAACATGCCCAAAACACCTAACATGAAGCAGACTACCATCTAACAACAACCCATTGCGTTTGACCAACCTCTTTTTCAAAGATGTGGCTGCGACATCATTAGAACTTGCATTATCTACAGTCAATGTATTTACTTTTACAGTCAATGTATTCACTTTATCAATCCCCCATCCCAATAAACAAGTATTTCACCACGATGTGGGGTTGGAAGCACACGGAAGTTGATGATTCTCTTTTGTAAAATCCATTATTTGTCAATGTAATGCGCGGTGAGACAAATATACCCCAGGTTTTGAATGAAAGTCCACAAATCAGTAGTGAGACAAACACGTGATGCAGAGGATTCAAAGATAAATCTCAATTTTTTCCTTTCAGTTTCATAAATATTGATGCAATCTTTGGTGATTGTAGTTCTTGACACCAAATTAAACCTTGGTTGCAATGCATTAAGAACCCTTTTAAAACCTTCTTTCTCCACAACACTAAAAGACATTTCATCAGTAATTATCATTCGAGCAATTTCTTTCCGGACAGATTCTTGTTCAAATTTCCAATTACTAATATTACTAGAAGGACCACTAGCAGATGAAAAATTAATCAATTTTTGAGTAGCATCTTTATTCTTTTCACATTTTGAACACTTGAATAAGTGTCGCCAAATTGTACTAGTTCCTTGTGAACTAGCATAATGAAACTTCTTTTTGCAATGGTTGCATTGCACTTCATCAAGTTTTGACCTATCTTTTTTTTTAATTTTTGTGAAATCAAGTCAAACATCAAATTTTTCAACATAAGTTTTTTGGCGTTTGGTGGGACTTACAGAGTTCCTCTCATAAGGGTTACCAGTAGCAGGCTCAGATGCAGGATTAGCCATAGATTCAGTATTTGTCTCCGTCTCCCCCATTAGTGACATGTACCTTTTCAATATCTGAACTAGCATAATAAAACAGAAAAATAATCAATTAGCAAAATGATCAAATGGAAAAATGAACTAGCAAAATGATAAAACGGAAAAATGAACATTGATTAGCTTTGAATAAAATCTGAAAAAATTGCATCTGAGACTGAGAGTGTTTTCTATTGTCGAGCAAAATATCGAGCATGATTAGTTCTATTAGCTCTGAACAAAATATCGAGAGTGAAAAGAAGTCTAAATATCGACCATACCTGATCTGATCTGAGATGACGGTAGATAGTAGATCTGCTTTGAGATGAGATCTCTTTTCAAGTGTAGATTTGATTTTTTTTTCGATTGAGATGAAGGGAGAGTCGATTGAGCTGACAATGTCTAAGAGAGAGAGGAGGCTGGCTGAGAAAGGGATCTGAGAGTGGGACTGAGGGAGGCGGATTGAGATCGAGTAAGACTGAGGGAGGCGGGCATCGATCGAGTGAGGGAGGCAGACTGAGATCGATCGAGTGAGGGAGGCAGACTGAGATCGATCGAGTGAGAGAGGCTGAACAGAATCACAAATTAACCCTAAAATTGGAAAATGTATTTATAGGGTTTTTAATATTCGGGTTAAACCCGATTATTAACTCGGGTTGAGCCCGATTTTAATTCGGGTTGAGCCCAGTTGAACCCGAGGGGTCAACCTGAGGCCCGCCTAAATTGAATTCTGGTTGATATTTTTCAACCCAAGCCCAACCCAAGTTTTAAAAATTCTAGTCCAAGCTCGTCTTTTTTCGGATTAGATTCGGGTTGAATTCGGGTTACCCAACCCAAGTTGCACCCCTAATCTTAGCCAGAGATTGAGTTAAATGATCGGCAACTGTTGATTAAAAAAATGATGAAGTAATAACAAATTTATAAAACAGAAGTAGAGATCCGATACCGAGAAGTGTTTTCCGGTACCCTAATAGGAGTCGTGAGCTTTTGGTGGATGGGTATTGGATGGAGTTGGCCCTTTACTTCGGATCCTTTTGGTGGATTGGATAGAGTTGGCTGTTTGCACGAAACAGGTTGTCAGCCATCAATACGTTGGGCCAAGATAGGCTGGGCCTATCTTGGTCTAGAATCTAACATATTTAGCTAATGGGCTTTTCATGGATCTCCACTTAACAGCCCATTAATTGATGGGTCTTGAGGCCCAATCGGAGAATATATATATTACTTTGAGGAATCTCATTTTGCACCCAAAATATTTAAGTTTTTTAATTTTATACTCTAAAGATTTTTTTTACAAAGTATCCTTTGGGTCGTGGGGCCCAATCCGAGAATATATATAATTTTGAGGAATCTCATTTTTGCATCCAAAACGTTTAATTTTTTTTATTTTATACTCTCAATTTTTTTTTTATAAAGTATCTTTAATGTATTAAAAGAATTGTATTGTGGCATTTTCATTACCTTCTGTTATTTATTCTGTCAAAATTTATCTTATTAGCTTTAACGGAATGAGTAATAAAAATTAATAGAAAAATTACATTATAATATTTTTAATACATTGTGGGTATAATATAAAAAATCTAATCTTTGATCATAAAAAGTGTGAATTCTTAAATTGTTTAGGGTATAAAGTGTAATTCTCCCTATAATTTTCCCTCCAAAAAGTAACCGTAATCTCCGCACACCTCCCAATTTTCCCTCCACTACGCAAACCCTAACACCACCCACGAACCCCCCCCCCCCCTCCGGGGCGGCCACCCCACCGATATACACACAGACTCTTGGAGACCGCACGCACTACTGTCTTCACCGCTATACTACGTTAGATTTCGATTCGATTCTTTCGATATTAGTTACTACAACTTTGATGTGCTTCTGAGTTGTGTACGCTATTGTTTTTGTTAACAATCACTGCCTTTTCAGGGTTTGAGTTTTAGTCCTATTTATTTTTCGACTGCATATGAGTTAAGATGGGTTCGTTAGGGGATGATGACGATAAGATGAAATCTATTGAGAGAGATTCAGATGTAGAACCAAGTGATGCCGAGACTCAGCTGTTTGACAGTCAGTTTTCTCCACTCTCATTGTCTGATAACTTCTATTTTTCCTTCTATTCTATTCTATTCTATTCTATTCTATTCTAATTGTGTTAGTTATGCCCCTTTAGGTTAATTCAAGAGATTTTCTAGTTTTTTTTTTTGAGAGAGAATAACTATATTTTGCTGAACCTGAGCAAAAGATGGGTATTGATTAGAACAAGGCAGTTATATAAGTGAATAGAATGCAAGTAGTGATATTTTTTTCAATAAGATTCATTTACCCCAGTAAAGATTTATTTTTTGGCTTGTGATGGTTATTGCATTAGAATCACTAACTGCAGTCGGAGTAATTTTCTTTTTCTTTTTTTTTTTTTGAGTACAATCCAGTTTGATTTTATATAATAATGAAGTGACTCACCTATATACTCCAAATGTGGTATCTATTGTACTGCGAATGAGATGCATCAGTGTGTTTCAATGGCTTATTTCAAGTTTGAACTTTTTACTGCCCCAGCAAACAGAAAATTTGAATTTTTATGTTGATCACTAAATCAGATGACTCACCTATATACTCCAAATGTGGTATCTATTGTACTGCGAATGAGATGCATCAGTGTGTTTGTTCGGCTTATTTCAAGTTTGAACTTTTTACTGCCCAGCAAACAGAAAATTTGAATTTTTATGTTGATCACTAAATCAGATGTGAGAAAGGCAGAGGAATTTTGTGCTTGAGATGAAAAAAATGGGAATAGGTAAAATGTTTATATGTATTATTCGATGATGCTGTAAAGTGTAAACTATATTAGATAGTTGACTAGTATAAGTAACGTTAACAGAAAACAATAAATGTGGGTTTGATCAAGTTGCACTGATCAGAAACCATAAATGAGTGAATGAAAAGAATAAAAAATGGTGGTTGGATCAAGTTTTATTGTTTCAAGCAACTATAATTTACAAATTTTACCAGTACTCTTTTTGGGTTACATTTTATGTGTTATTTATGAGACTACCCGTTTCTTAATATATAATTAGGTGGGGGTAAAGGTGAGGATGATTTACAATATCTTCAAAGTACTGTGCCCTTTGATGAATTTGTTGCATTTGAGGATGTATTTGAGACCCAGGTGTTAGATCTTGGTGGCGAGACCTCAGAATTGAACCTTGGTGGTGAAACCCAAGTGATTCATGATCCAGATTGTGAGGAGAATATTAACACCCAGTTATTAGACGCATGCCATAATGAAGTTGCCGTTGACAGTGATGGTGAAGGAACTGACAGAACCGAAATTCTAAGTGAGACTGAGGAGTTGTCAGATGAGGACTCTGTGAAAATAGTAGGAAGTCATCCCCTGGACCAGGAGAACATGCCATGCACAGCTCTTCGCAAACAAGGCGATGACCAATTTAAAGCAGAATTGAATGCTTTGAGTAATGAAAAGCACAGCTCAGGTTTGCCTGAGTATCCATTACCTCATGAAAGTATATTTTGGGATATTATTTTACAAGCTCCTGTGTTCCTGTTCTTGACCAATATTTGATTATTACTGCATGATATGTTGTTATGTTTCATTTTTGAGAATACACGATACCCATGGACTGTGGAAATAATAGAAAAAATGAACATGATATTACTTGTCCAAATAAATTTTATTTTAAATTTGGTTCATATTAGAGATGCAAGGAGCACATCGTAATTATTCACTTTGTTTTTCAGGATCTGTTCACAGAGACTTCACCTCAGTTCGTGTAGCATCTCTTCGGGCCTGTGGTTTGGCGGCTCACAGCATGACTTCCAAAGGAACCAATGGTTTCCCATGTTCCATTATGAGTGACAGTCAGTCTTTGAAGCGACATACTACCGCACATGATCAGACACCTGTTGGAGGTTCACTTCTATGTGTGAAGGAAGTTGATCAGGCACATGTGCTGGAGGAGTATGATGCAGAAATGAAGGGATCAAGGAATGAAAACAGGTGCAGGGTTGGTAGTTCAACTGTGAGGAAACTTTTTGCAGAGGATATGCTTGTTGCGACCAAAGAGCCATATGATGGCATGAATAAAGCTGACGGAGAAGCAGAGTTTCCACGGTTATTTCCTTCAGAAAATGAGTTGGCAGGGTTAAGCTATGTCAATTCTCAAGAACCTGGAGAGTTATCACAAGCCAATGCACTTGACTTTGTGGATAAGTTTCTTAAGGTTAATATCATTGATTTTGATGAAGAAATTGATTTCAGAAAGTCCACTGGAGGGAAGTCAAAGCCTGTCTCAAGTGCAAAAGGTACTCAAAGTTTGGCCAAGAGAGCTAATCCTGAAAGCACAGATAGAGAAAGAGGAATTTTTGATTGGGATGATACTCGCGAGGACGAAGGAGGGGGAGAGTTTTTCAGAAAGAAGAAAGATGCACTTTTTGATAATGGAGGTCAAATGCGAAGATCTCATACCCACCCTAGGAAACCTAGGTTTCTTGAGACCAAAGGAAACAATACAGTTGAAGAATCCAGAGGCAATATGGAAAACTTAGACAAACGTCAGAAAATAGTGGACTCAATTCACTTTGATTCAAGGTTGGTGTTCCATGATATGAAAGGGAATGACAAGTCAAGAAAGGCAATGGACGCAGGATTTAAAAAGAATTTAACTAAAGAGTTGGATGAACGTGTAAATGTGGGTTCTAAGAATGGAATGGTAGACACCGGTACCAACAAAGATGTGCCAGACATGTCAAACATAGGTTTTGATACTCAAATGGCTGCTGAAGCTATGGAAGCCTTAAGCTTTGGGGTGGTTGGGACTGGTCACGATTTTAAGGATGCTAATCAAGGTGCTGAAAACATGCAGAAGGGTCCTCTCAATGAAGAAACAATTGACAGAAGAAATTTGAAGCGAAATATTGCACAGAAAAGAGGGGGCTTTCATACCAGAATGAGCACAAAACAATCCAAGCAAACAAAGAGGACTGGTACCAAATTGAGTGAAGAGACCTCTATTTCGCTGCTGAAAACACCTAAGAATGTCAGGAAGCAAAGCAATAGAAAGCAAGAAAGATCTGATCTGAAGAAAGTAAATTCAGATGTTAAGGGACAGTTTACCACCAAGGCAAGTGAAAGCTTAAGCAAAGTGATCGTTGAGCAAAGAAAGGAAGAAGATGCTCTGAGACGAAGTGGCAATGATAAGATTGATAGATGTAATGTCACTGCATCAAGTGGTAGAAAGTCAGTCGAGAAATGGTGTTTGCAGGAGCAACTTGGTTCTTTTATGCCCATAGCTCATCGAACTAGGCAGTGCATGAAAGGGAATCAATCAAAAAAAGCTGGGAATGCATCAAATAATTTTGGAGACGAGGTGAACAATCTGGCAGGTGTTGGTGCCCTTAAAAACAAAAGAAAAAGGAGCAGAGCAGATATTGCTGCTTCCATAGTGTTGAATGCCTCTGATAAGTCTAATGACACGAATTTAACTTCCAAGCAATCTGGCAAACTCGTCAAATTGTCTGAGCTTGAGCAATCTGATCCAAAGCTAACATGTACAACCAGCGCTGTCAAACTTAATGAATTGGACTATCCTAGAGGAAGAAGAACACGCCAGAGGTTGTCGGCAGATGTGGGAGAAGCTAATAAAAAGTACAATACACGGTTAAAAAGGTTGCAAACTGATGCTATAAGCACTTCTGTGGATCTAGTTGTAAATAGGAAAACACGGTCATCTGTGTATGCTATGCCAGTTTTGCCATCCCTCAACGGACAGTCTGGAAAAAGATTGTTGCGGCAGATCATAGATAAAGGAAAATCAAGTGATGCAACTTTCGGATGTAATTCTGTTGATATGAATGAGAATACTATTTCAGAATACATGGTTGAGCTACCGACATCTACATATTCTGATGGGAAGAGTAATGCTGATACCACTTCCGTAACAGGTGCAGAAGCAAATGCCATGTTGGAAGCGTCACCAAAAGAGGGAAGCAAACCAGTTTGTACTACTCCGGTTAATTGTATGACTCCTTTGAATGCAGTGTCACCTATTTGCATCGGTGATGAATATCTTAAAAAGTCATGCAGGGAGAACCTCTCAAAATCATCTCTGATGAAAGAGATTAATAGCTTGATCACCATTGGAACAGAATCTACTTGTGTGACCAAATATTTAAGGAGGAGAGATGTTACTGGTGTTCGAGTCTTGTTCAGCCAGCACTTGGATGGGGATATGATGAGGCAACAAAAGAAGGTAGTCATTTGTGGCATCTTCTGTTCATATTTTGATACAAGCAAGTTTAAACTTTAAACTGTGCATTGTCTAATGAATCTCCTGTCACAGATTTTGACTAGACTGGGGGGCTCAGTAGCATCCTCTATTTCAGATGCTACACACTTCGTAACTGATAAGTTTGTGCGCACAAGGAATATGTTAGAGGCTATTGCTTCTGGAAAACCAGTGGTGACAAGTTTATGGCTTGAGAGCTGTGGGCAAGCTAGCTGTTTCATTGACGAGAGAAATCACATACTGAGAGATTCCAAGAAGGAAAAGGAGTTAGGCTTTAGTATGCCAGTTTCATTGGCACGTGCGTGCGAACATCCACTTTTACAGGTAATAATGGTTTTGTTAGTTCCCTCAGATGCAGTTCCTGTTGTTCCTTCTAACTGAATATCTTCTCAGCAGGGTCAAAGGGTCTTGATCACACCAAATACAAAGCCTGGTAAAGAAATATTAGCAAGCTTGGTTAAGGCAGTTTATGGAGTGGTGCGTAGTTCTCCCTGATCTTTTTCTTAGAGCTAAACCATTCTATGTGAACTAGGTTGTACATATAGAATTTGCTTTGATTGACTTGCAGCATCGATTGGTAGCGTTATCCTGAGATATGGGATTAAATAATTTAAATACTGCTTGGGAGTTTTACACTTCCCCCATCTGTCTGAAAAATGCCTCTTTTCTTAGAAAGTAATGATGCTTGCAGAGAAATTGGTCTAGGAGCTCAGAATTTGCTAGATTGATGAACAGATTACCTGACTAAAAAGCTTGTTCTACATTGCTGGAAGCTGTAGTCACTTTTTCTTTCAAGTTGATCAATGTCAGGAACCAGGCATAAAAGCCAATTCATGCCCTTTATATCCTTGCTTCTAGAGTGTATTCTGGCTGCATCATTAATTACTCCTCTAGTGACCTGGTTTTTAAGCATGCTTCGACTTACTTCTATCTCATAGGTATACATATTACTTCTGGAGACTGACCATAGTTAGAGGGGGAAGAATGTCTAATGCAACTTATATGTTATATTGATGCTGTTGTTTGTGCATCAATGCATTATCTGGTAAAGTTTTCAGGTGAATACTAAGTATCCAAAGGCTTTGAGGAGAAGCATGCATGTAATTGTTGTTCACATTGGTAGAACTCATTACGCTGGGGGAAGCAGTGGTCAATAAAGGTTTTGGGAACTGAAAAAAATCACCCCCTGTCGTCCCCGTTAACCGAGAGTACTGAGAAGGATGAAGTGAATTCAAAACTAACATTTGACAATATTTCACATAGGAGCTATCCACATATTTGAACTCGCAATCTAGTAGTTGGGAACTACATCTCTCATTGAGCTACCTAGAATTTTGAAATACTGGCCTAGAACTAGCTATATTTGAACTTGGAATGTATGCATGATGTGATTGTTTTAGAATCTCCATCCAGTAAACATTTGACTTGGATTTTGGTGTTCTATCATATCTTGTAGAGCCACTGGGTTTTGGTCTGTGAAGTAGTTTTGGATAGCAGATAATATCTCACCTATTTGCATGTGTATAACATGCCTCACTTTCTACTAAAATGCCCTATGTACCTCTTGCTTGGCACACCAAGGGTGGGAGCTTTTGTGCGCCAATCCAAGTCGCCAATCAAATGTTGCTTGCCCATCCCAGGGTATTTGGAAACTGTTACCATCATTCTTCCACTCAAAACTTCAATTATGTTCCATCTGCCATATGTGCTTCGTTACAGTATTCGTAGCTAGCATCAAATCACTGCTTTACAGGTTATATCATGTTGTCTTCTTCTGCCCTTCCTCTTCGTTGTCCCTGATCTAAATGTCCGTACAGGTGCCTTAATCATTTTCCACAAAATACATTTATGTGTTATGTTACTGTTGCTATCTCCAACTGTTCAGTTCTCCATGTATTATTTACCTGCTCTTATTTACATAGGAGGTGAGTATTGTTGAACACAAATTACAAATTTACAGCTTCCATAAAGGCTGGCTTAGATTGTTAATAAACATTCAGGCTTATATTAAAGCTTTTAATATTTCTTCTGTTGTGTTATGAATTCCCCATGGATGGTACTTTCTGCCTGTGTCCTTTCTTGCTCTGATGCGCCTGTTACCTGTTGCCCAGTTGACATATGGATACCACTAATATTCTTGTCATCTGAATTAATACTCATATAAACCAGTAAGACTCAAATTTCAACCTTATGTGCTAGGGCACCACGTCATTTGGTGTATCTAATGGCCTAAGGAGTTCCTAACAACTGCCCTTTTCAGTGCTTCCACTGTTCTATGAATCAAATTCGAAAGTTCGATGGTAAACTGTTCCATCTCTTTTTAGTGGGACTTTCCCAACTTGAGGGGTGGGGTTGGGTGCAGCTTTGGATACAATTTTCTGTTATTTTTGTCCATCATAATTGCACTGCCTTTTAGCTGTTTTGAATATACTTTATGCGATGGAACTGAACAATATGCTGGGACTCTGTCGATATGAGAGCTCTCTCCCTTGGTTAGGGTTCTTTTGAGGTTTTATTCTCATTTTTCTTTTCCCGAGGCGGATCTCTTCGTCTTCTCAATACTACTTACCCCTTTTCCATGTTTTCTACCTTCATAATCCCTATTTTACTCCTTCTAGTTTGGAATAGTCCACATTTTTCCATTCTACGCTATATCCGTATGTATCACTTCTCCCAAGGTCTCCCCAGATTTTTTCAGAACGACGTGTTGCTTTCCCGATGCGGCGGCTCCCATCGGTAAGTGTTTTATGACCATTACACTTTACCGTCTTTCTATCTTTTTCCCCTTTCTCTGTTGCTCCACCTCCTTACCATTACTGCCTTATCCCACCACCATAGCGTGCCTTCTACGTATCTCCTCCTTGTATTTGTCTGTTTTCCACCATTGTTGTGCAACCCTCTCTGTGTTACCCTTGCTATAGACCCAAATACCCTAAACCCCCAAAATATAGCAAACCTTCAATCCCCTCTCTGTACTCTCTCTCACCCTATTTTTGGCTCTGGTCTCTCTATTTCTTTTTCTCTCCTGTAGCTCTTTTGATCTATTCCTATAGATGGAGAAGGACCTCGAAGTTGACTCCTATTCCTCCCATCACCCACGAATCTCTCTCTATTCTGACCCCTCTACCTCAAAGACGATAGGAAAATTCTGTCTAGTGGGTCGGTTTTTTATAGATTCTACCTTAAATAAGCAGGGGGTTTGTAACGTGCTGCTGAGTTCTTGGAAGACTTTCAAAGGCTTTTCCATCACCTATTGGGAAAGAAATACCTACATGTTTATGTTCAAAGATGAGGATGATAGAAACAAGATTTTAAATGAAGGTCCATGGTCCGTTTTAGGAGCATTGCTGGTTCTGAAGGTATACCAACCACAGTTTATCATTGGAGATTTCGATTTCTACTCAACCGAGTTTTGGGTGCAGATTTGGGGCTTACCCCTCGCTATGATGACGAAGAATAACGCTTGGAGAATGGGAATGATTATTGGCGAGCCCACCCAACTCGAGGAATTTGAGGGGGAAGTTCAAATCCGGCGGAATTTTCTGAGGGTGAAGTGCAGGATCAATTTGAATGAACCTTTGAAAAAAGGTTTTTTCCTGTCTCGGGACAATCAAGATGATATCTGGATTAGTTTAAAATTTGAGCGACTGTCCTACTTTTGCTACCAATGTGGTCGGGTTGGCCATTCTCAAAGTCATTGTAAGGATAGGAGGACGTCTGGGTCCAATAGCTACTTCGGGCCAAAACTACGAGCGCAATCCACTCAGCTAGGGGGCTTCTTCAGAGAAACTTGGTCCCTAAGAGAACGCGAGACTTTGGAGAAAAAGGACAAGTTCAAAGGTAAAATGCGAGTAGCTGATGGAGAGGCTGAATCAGGAAGGAGGAGGGGTCAGGAAGGGAACAGGAACGTTAGTGGAGATTCATCTGAGGCACCCATAAACCGGGAAGATGATGTGCAGAGAACCCATGTCAGAACCGAGGCTAATACCAGTCTGGAACAGAAAAACGGATCACAGTACCATGCACCACCCCTCCCAGTGGTACCTTATGCTGGTGGGGACCAAGATTGGGATTTGTCTTTATCCCTTTCTTTGTCTTTGTCCCAAGAAAATCCGAATATTCTTGAAGCAACCAAGAGGGGATCCTATTATGTCTATGAGCCCACAGAGAGCCCAGCAATCCAGGAGGTCAATGAAAAAGTGGTCCACATAATCACTGATAGTGAGGAGGAGGATATGAATGTTGATATGGAGACCCACTTCCAAAGTATGATGCTTAAGAGGGAAGCCCAACTGGATGATGCGACTATGGAAGCCCACCCAATACCATGGAAAAAACCTAAAGCATTTTCGGACAGTGGCCCAAGTGCACCTCACCTTTCACTACCTTTTTCCGGCCCCCCGCTTGCTATTGATATGTCCCTTGTTAACTTTGGAAGAAAGCATGCCTTAAGATAACGGGCTAGGAGAAGCAAGCCCAAGAAAAGGGTGAGTGGAGAAGGGCTGATGCATCATGAAGCGCAATTTGCCTATCTTGAGAATGAAGAGGAACAAATACAACATGATTTGGCTGAGGGCTGTAATGGTTTCAATGAAGGGAAAGGTGAAAATAATCTGGATAGATGTATATCCTTGTGGATTGCTCAACCCTCTCGGAAAACTTCTGATGAGGATGATGATACTAGTTGTGCTGATAAGGTGGTGGTGGCTGACCTCAAACAGCCACACGACTTATGTTGATGCTTACTTGGAACTGTCAGGGAGTAGGGCGACCCCGGACAGTCCGTAGTCTAAGAGGACTTATCACCACCCATCGCCCCTCAATCGTCTTTCTTATGGAGACTAAAAACAAGTCTGATAAGTTGGAGCGGTTGAGAAGAAATTTAAACTTTCCTTGTTTCGAATACGTGGATCTTGTGGGCCTTTTTGGCGGATTTGCATTATGGTGGAAGAAAGAAACCAACCTGCTGATTCTGGATAAATCCAAAAACCTGATTAATGTAAGAGGTAGACTTAACCATCAGCAGGATTTTTGGCATTGTACCTTTGTCTTTGCAGACCCGTTGGCTGAAAGAAGGAAGAAGATATGGGAGCGGCTGACCAATATATCAAAGTCCATCGACTTGCCCTGTTTAGTTGCAAGGGACTTCAATAATATTAGATCACTAGATGATAAAGAGGGGGGTGTTATTAGTAGTATAAGGAGGGTGGAAGAATTGCAATAGTTGTTTTCTGACTGCTGCCTCATTGAGATGTGCTTTAGTGGACCCAAATTTACATGGTCAAACAACAGGCCAGGTGCAGCCAATGTTCAAGAGCGGATTGATAGAGTATTGGTTGCCCTCTTTCCCTTAATTGCGGTACTGCATGAAACTAGGATGGGGTCTGACCACTGTCCCATTGTGATTAATCTTGGCTTAAATGCTAAAAACGCCCCCATTCCTTTAAATTTGAATGTATGTGGCTAGAGGATCCTGAGTGTGAAGAGGTGATCAAAAGTAATTGGATTGTGAGAGATCCAACCTCTATGTTTCGTAACACCATCAGTAATCTCAAATCGTGCAGAACCCATCTGTTGGAGTGGAGCAGACAGAAGTTTGGTAATAATAAGAGTTTGATTCGAAAGCTTAACAATGAACTACTCCGTGTTCAGATGAGGGAGCCTTCAGAGGATAGTCTTATTGAGGAAGCGGAGCTTTGTGCCCAGAATGATGCAATAAGATGCAGAGAAGAGAAGTATTGGCAGCAACGTTCAAGGGTCAATTGGTTGAAAGATGGGGATCAAAATACCAGATTCTTCCACTTGTCTACCATTCAAAGAAGAAATTGCAATAAGATCGTTAGGCTGAAGCCTGATGAAGCTATATGGATTGAGGGGGAGGATCAACTCCCATATCACTGATTATTTCAAAGCTTGTTTCGATCGCCGGGGGAAAGAGACTGGTCTGAAGCACTTGGGGCTGTACATGTTAAAGTCACTGAGGCAATGAACAGTGCTTTGTTAAAGCCTATTCAAGATCAGGAAGTGTATGATGCTGCAAAGGAGTTGGGTGCCTTGAAAGCCTCTGGTCCAGATGGTTTCCCAGGTATCTTCTTCCAAAAATTTTGGTATATGGTGAGTAATGATATTATTAAAATGGTTAAAGATTTCTTTGAAGGAGGTCAGTTGAACAGGGAAATCAACTTCATAAATATTGTCCTTATCCCAAAAGAAACTGCTCCTAAAACCATTAAACAGTTCAGACCAATTGCACTATGTAATTTTTTGTAGAAGGTGATATCAAAAGTTATGGCCAATAGATTGAAAGGATTGTTGTGTTCCATCATCTCCCCGAATCAAGGTGCCTTCGTCCCAAATAGACAAATCTAGGATAGTATTGCAATTGCCAACGAAGTATTCCACCATCTGAAAGGAAAGAAGAAAAGGAAAGTGCCTGAAATTGCCATTAAAATGGATATAAGTAAGGCTTACGATAGAGTTGAATGAGATTTCCTGGAAGCAACAATGTTAAAACTGGGCTTTGACCGACGCTGGGTTAGCCTCATCATGTAATGCATCAGTACTGTCACCCTACAATTTGTGCTTAATGGAAAGGAAATCGGCATTGTTACATCCCCAGAGGGAATCAGGCAGGGGGATCCCCTCTCCCCTTATCTCTTTCTCTTAGTTGCTGACGTTCTCTTAGCGATGCTTAGAATGGGGTTAATGATAGGAAACTAGTGGGAATCAAGATCAAGAGAAGGAGTCCAATGATCTCACACCTCTGCTTTGCTGATGACTCCTTGTTCTTCCTCAAGGCTAATGATGGGGTGTTAGGGAATTGCTTAAGATTTTGCAAAGTTACTGTTCGGCGTCGAGCCAGTGTGCCAACTACCAGAAATCTGGAATCATCTTCTCCAGTAATACAGTCGAGGAGCAAAAGGTCTCTTTATGCCGCCGTTTGGGTATGCAGGCCCTCCCTCACTGTGCAAAATATTTGAGAATCCCTATGGCATGGGGAAGATTCAGAAATGAGGTGTTTGAATATCTTCTTGAGAGGGTCGTAAAACGCTTACAAGGATGGAGAAGCTGCTGTCTGTCACAGGCTGGAAGGAAATTCTTATTAAAGTTGTTGTCCAGGTCATTCCTAACTACGCCATGTTTGTTGTGGAATTTCCCGTTAGCTTTTGTGCAAAGCTTAATTCATACGTAAGGAATTTTTGGTGGAAAGAAAGTGTTGAGAGTAGAGGTATTTGCTGGAGGAAGTGGGAGAAGATAACTGAATCCAAATCCGTTGGGGGGATGGGATTTAAAGATTTCAAGTTGTTTAACCAAGCCCTTTTGGCTAAACAGTGTTGGAGACTTTTGAACCAACCAGACTCATATTGGGCGAAATTCATGAAGGCAATTTATTTCCCAAATGTTGATTAGATGAAAGCAAAGCGTGGTGCGCAAGACCATCCTGGTTTTGAACCAGTTTGCTCTATGGCAGGGAACTTCTCGATAAAGGGCTGTTGTGGCAAATCGGTGATGGGTCGGAGGTTTGTTTCTGGAATGATAAGTGGATTGCCCAGCTCCCCAATATTGTTATTCAATCCCCAAGGCCCCAGGTTTGTTCTATCTCAAAGGTTGCTGATACTATTTCTGTTCTCTCCAAGAGTTGGAACATTTCAAGTATGGAAAGCTTATTATCAAGGAATGAGCTGAATGCCATCAGGTCCATTCCCTTACCACTGATTGGGAGGAAAGATAGAAGAATTTGGTGGTCTACAAGCAAAGACAGTTACACAGTTAGGTCTGGGTATGTCTTGGGGTGCAAGGAGGCCTCTGTCTAGCTGGCGGCAAGCTCTTCGTTTTCTCTTCATCCTAAATTATGGCAGTCTATCTGGAATATGAAGGCAGCCCCCAAAGTTAAACATTTCTGATGGAAAGCCTATCATAATACTCTGGCCACTCAAGAGAATTTGTTCAAAAAAAAATGTACTGCCACGCCTTCCTGTATGATCTGTAATTCTGCTACAGTGTCCATTGAGCATATTTTGTTTGAATGTTGCTGGACTAGGTGTGTTTGGTTTGGAATGGATCTAGTTTTGATGGAGCAAGACTCATCCTTTTTGTCAGTTGCCCAACGTTCCACGACCTTGCTTCTCGTGGATACTAATACACAACGAAGCCTTGAACTCTTGGGGAAAATGGCCACAGTGGATTGGATTATTTGGAAAGCCAGAAATCAGTTTGTCTTCAATAAGGAAGAGGTGAATGTTTTTGCTACTGTGTTACGTGCTAAGTCTATGTGGGCTGACCAGTTCACACTAGACAGAAAGGGTTTGTCTGCAAATGTTTAGGAACTGAGAAGTAGTGAGGCCACCACTAGAGAGGAGGATCATGCTCCCCAAATCTTCTGTGATGGTGCCTTCAAACCCGAGATGGCTAAAGCTTCTTGTGGAAGTTGTTTTTTCCAAAAGGAATGGTGTTCTGGACTTCGGCAGTTCCAAGATCTTCCCCGCTTCTTCTTCTTTGATGGTTGAGGTGGAGGCAGTAAGACAGGCATGTTTGCTCGCTGAAGCTCAGTTGATCTCTCAGGCCACGATTGTCTTAATATTATCAAGTTAAGCTCAAATGAGGATGTTCCCCCATGAGAAATTAGTGTAATTATGGAGGATATTAGATTTTTGGCTGGGTCATTTAACCTTAGCTTTTTACACAAGCCTAGAGCCCTTAACAAGACTGCTCACGGGGTGGCGGCCAACAAGCTAAACAATTCACTTCCAGCGGATTGGGTCTCCCTCTCCCGAGCTTAAGGCTTATCTAGCGACTGACTGTAACCTCAATTTTCCTACTTAATGATATTGCTGCTTTGCTGGTTTTGAACAAAATATACTTTATGCATTCTGGGGTGCATTTAGATCGTTTAATCTTTCACGTTCTGATTACTGAATCCTCTAATTCTCCTCAGGCAGTGGAGAGAATGGGCAGATCTGCATTGAAAGGTGATAAAATTCCTGATGACCTGTTGGTTTTATCCTGTGAAGAAGATTATTCAATCTGCCGGCCTTTTCTTGAAAAAGGTTAACATGACATACTATACTATGTTCTCTTAACTGTTAATAGAAAATATAGAACCGGAATATTTGTTTTGAAGTATCATTTTATATGTATGCAGGAGCAGCAATTTACTGTTCAGAGCTGCTGCTGAATGGAATAGTCACTCAAAAGCTGGATTACGGAAGGTTTGTTCCTTGGTGTGATGAATGCATAGACTTTTTCTGTGAAATTGAATGTTTACATCTGAAGAATATGCTTGTGCCATTTTACTTTGTGTCGTTATTGTGAGCTGGGGGCTCGTGTTACCAACAAGTCACAGTATTCTACCCTTTATTAGCAAAAATTTAAGATGGAACAGTCAAAATCTCATCTCTAGGTTAATTCTTAGGTATTAGGGTTACCAGTCTATGATGGCTTCCAGATTAAGCCGTTGTGATCTATATAGATGGCGAAAGATTGAATTGTGAAATGATGCCTTCACCGGTGCAAAGGGTTTGTTCTTGCTTCTAACATAGTTGTATATCTCTGGTGGCAGACATCGTCTCTTTACGGATCATGTCAAGAGAACACGTTCAACAGTATGGCTAAAAGATGGTAATCAGTATCTTCCTGTGAATAGATGCAAATGAACTTTTCTCTATATTTTTGTATTTCTTGTAACCCCCCCCCCCTTTTTTTTTTTTTTTCCATTTGGCCGTCTCTCTGCATTGTGTTAGCTTTTCCTCCTACAATGCTGGGATCTTTTCCAATTATGAATGTCCCTAGTTTTTTCACCATTTTTTACATGTACGAATGTTATGAGTCTTGTACACACCATTTGAATGTATAGATTTTTTATTCCTTTCCCATGATCTATTTTGTTGCTTGAAAATCATTTGGGTTTCTTTATATTGGGATTTGTGGAGATTTGACTTTAATGAAGATAAGTTGTGAACGATTACGACTTAATGAATGTGGGATTTGTATAAAAAAAGAGTTTCGTAGTGTAATAATCATGAGAGAACTCTTTATATCTAGCCGAGACTAGATACAATTTTTGTAAACAGCGGAGAGGGACGTTAATGAAGCTACGTTGTGAACGATTGTGGCATAATGGATGTGAGATTTGTTAAAAGTAAGTTTCCGTGGTGCAATAATTATACAGGACTCTATATATATATATATCTGGTCAAGACTAGATAAAATTTTTGCAAACAGCAAATGGTTGGTTGCTTGATCTTCTTCCTATATGAAAGGAATTGCCCTTTGTTTCAAGCAAATGACTTTTCAACCCTTGTAAGTAATGAATGAAAAGCAACCTGTTTGCAGATAATATTGGTTTCCGTAATATGGAATATATAATGTCATCCTTGCATGCAAGATTAAAAGAATTTTGTTGAAGTATGAGAACATTACAACATCCTGCATCAACCAGAATGTATTGATACACAAAATCATAGAAGTAATATGACCCTGCACTTCAAATTCTGCTTGTTATCAATGAACCTGCCCACATCCTGGGATTTTCTTTGTCGGCAACAATTTGATATGAACACAGTTTTTGTCACATTCCTCAAGTAAAAAGTATGTAAGGATGGAAACTTGCATTATTGAAATACTACATTTCTATTTCCTCTTTCTTTGCAATCCTTGCAAATGGGTAGCTACTACTTTTACACAAATAAGCAGAGCACATCTTTGTGGATTCTGCCCCTCTATAGGGTCTGGTTACACTGGGGTAGAACTTTCCGAAACTTGAACTCGCCAGATAAAAAATCGAATATACAGTATGTTGAGACTCATAGCCACTCCAAAACCAAGAACAGCTGAAAACATTACTGCATAAACTGCCTTCAAGTGAAGCTGCCAGAAAGAATTAGATATTTCAAGACATTGGTCCCCCAAATAAAAAAGGGATCCAAAAGCACCAATTGAAACACTTCCATCATGTGCACAAAGTATATATAATATCATTCAGTTATCCATGTCTGTTTATGGACCTGATGACCTGTGTGTGTGGGGCGTGTGTGGCATTTGTCAAGGCCTTTGCTTAAAAAGAGTTGATTATTAATGCAATGCTTACAACATCTTGCTGTTATGTTAGGACACTAGTTTAACTCATTAGAGCTTTTTGAACGTTGAACAACCTTAACTTCACTAAGAAATGGATGCAAAATCATATATAATTCATAGAAAGTTCCACAATGGCAAACCAATGGAAACAAATAATTTGGATATTTCCCAAGCATCAAGACAGCCACAAACCATGCGAGAAAATTTAGCAAGAAGAATCCTGCATCATATAATAGTATGCCTATTCTAAACATATTCCAACTCATGGAGAAGTATTTGCTTGGAGGGTCCAAAGAGTAATAACAATGGTTTAATGGAACTTAAAACCCATACTTGCTGCAGGACATTGGTTCAGCGGGTTCGTTTTATTTGGAGCAAAGTATTTTATTATTAATACAATCATTTCATAAATTGTACAACATCCTTCTCCCCAATAAATGGTCACACAACGATGATGAACTTTTAGAAGGATAATGTCATTCTAGAAGTTTCATATGAACATTACCTGCCAAGGTAAGATGAATAATGAGGACATTTTGTTTTTCTAGGGTCTTTATGGACCAATTATTGGACTTGCATAGTGTTACAAATGACAAGCAGTTTTCCAACTTTAACTGCAAGGTCCAGTTATCATGTTTTAAATTTCCCCCGATTGCTATGTGGGCTTGCCAACGGGCTAGGTTATTGGTTGGATTACAAGATATAAGAAGAAACTAACAAAGAAAAAGCGGTCTTTGCCATTGGCAGGCCCAGTCGATACAATAAATGTTCTAGCCTTCAAAAAACAATACCAAAACACCCAATTATGAAACAGGAATTGCAGGTCTGCTTTTCTTATCAACCCCCCCACCCCCATGGAAGGTGCATTCAAAAATACTTGGCTAGGACTTGAAAGGGGGTAAGGAAAGACATATAATTCTATGTCAAAAAGTGGCCTAAACAAGTTCTCATAAAAGAACGTAAGAAAGGAAACTACTTGACCTTTTATTTGCAGTTATCGTGACTACAGTAAAAGGATAGATATAAAAATCCTGTTTGGCTTGCGCACAAGGTGAAAGCAGGATGACCAGACAGCCCTCAAATGCATAAAATTATTATGACAACTATATTTGTTACACAAGCTATGCTACTTTTAGTAATTAGAGAAGCCTCACTTTTGAGGAGATGCTCCAAAGAATACCTCATACAATTTTCTCCCAGATCCTCTACTTTAAATTCCTAGGAACTGGGCTTTTTCCTTTCATTTTCAGTATTTCTCTTGAATTGCTCCACCTTAATAAGCCGTTAAAACTAAGGAATCTTCAGATTCACAATGGTCATTTTAATTAGCAGGAAAATCTCTGCCATTTGATTGTATTTTGCTAGGAAAATATCTGAAATTGGGCGTTCAAAGAACATCATGGATATAAATGTCCGAGAACAAAACAAACCATATACTTAAGTAGCGTTTGGTAACAAGTTGCTTTGGTTTTTATTTTTTTATTTTTTCATTTCATGGCAAAAAAAAACTAAAAAGACGTGTGGGGGTTGCTTTTCTTTGTTTTTTTTTTTTATGCTTCGTTTTTGAAACAAGACCAAAATATGGAAACAACCAAAAGGATGTTTTTGAAAACATCCAAAAAACGAATCAGACGGAGGCTGGGAACACAACTTTAATTAAGTCCAACTTTCGAGTCCTTTTATCAGCAAACAAATAATTTTTTTACTCGAGTACAAAAGCCCTTCATTTCCCTTTTCCTGTCTCTGTGCCTCTCCAGCTCTTGCCTCCCTCTCTCTCTCTCTTCTGTCATTGTTCTTGTGGTTTTGGGTGGTTGGTGGTGGTGGTTTTCCGTGGGGATGGTGGGGGGTTTTCAGGGGGTTTGGGTTTGCGGGTGGGTTTTAGGGGGCGTGTTGGGAGTGGGTTTTTGGGGGTTTGAGGTGGGTTTCAAGTGTGGCATGAGGGTTTCAAGGGGTGTTTAGGGTGGGTTTTCGGTGTGGTGTGGGGGTTTCAGGGGGTGTGGGTTTCGGTGGTTGTTGGTGGGGGTGGGTTTTGCGATGTGTTGGGTGGTGGATTGCGGGGGGTTTGGGGGTGGGTTTACGATGGGGTTAGGTGGTGTTGGGAGGTAGATTTTGGGAAAAATACCAAACATGGCTTTTATTTTTGTTTTCATAATTTTTTAACTATAAATGACTACCAAACATGTTTTATATTTTTTAATTTTTATCACAAAAAAACAAAAATTAGTTTTATTTTTTTATTAAGAAAAACATAAAAGCAAAAAAAATACCAAATGCACCCTTAATCATTCAATATTTACTAAAAAATCTCACCATGGAATAGAATAGGTGGAGAATCAGTGCGACAAGTGCAAATTCAAGAGCTGCGTACGTCCATATGTACTCCTTGATTGCTGCATGTGAAACAAGCTCAATTGTAATACAGCCAAACTTCATATGGCTAACTATTTAAAATCTGGGGGCTCAGACGTACCAAGGCTGACTGCAAAAATTGAAGCCAAAAGGCCCAATGTAAAAGAGAATGGTGCAGCAATCACTATCGCTTGGGTCTTCATGTCATGGATCTACAAATTAGAGGACATTAGAATAACTGGTATGGTGAAGTCATTGGACAAATGCAGAGATTAAAAATTCTGGGTTGGTACCATGTGCGTAACTTATCTACGCAGTTGATATTAGCTCATACAGTCTGATTCATAAAGTCCCTTGGTATGCTGTAGTAGTCGCTAAACCACGAAAAAGAGGCGAGGAGGGAGGGGTATAACTAAATGCACTTATACAGCCACAAGAATGCTCGGAACACCTAGACCTATACCCATTTTCTTGTCTTGACCAAACATTCTGTTGTCCATGAGGAAGGAGGTTTTGACTTCTGAGCCTCTGTATCATACATGTATGAAAGGAACGTGCAGGAAACATCAAGTGAAAAAGACTTTAAAACTGAAGCTTGATGGTAATTCAATGAAAAACTGCAAAGAAAAATCCAAGAGATCTTTTTGAGCTGTCCACAGTATGCTATGAACAAAAGCCATAGCACAAGGGTTGCTATGCAGATCTATTTGAGGTGAGAGTTCAGAATGAGTCATAAATGTGACAACAATTTTAGTATCCACAATGTCAATGAGCATCCAGAAATCTGATTGTTGCCCACCAATAAAATCAGGAATGCATTGTGCCAGAAATGCTTTGAAAGGAAGATGTCTCAAATGTCTTCTAAGGACAGCCTGTTCAGAAAACCCTAGTCTCCTGTAGGCGATCTTCTATCCCTGTTCCCTACCCCCTGGTCTGGATTTCTATACGACAGTCTTCTTTGAGATCCAAAATCATTTTCTGATAACCAGATTTTGGTCTACAGTATGGTTTCATTTAGAATTGAAATTGTCCAACAAGAATTTGAAGCATCCAAATCCAGGTCAGGACAAGTCAATATCGACATCACATATCCTTTTGCAAAATCATGGAATCAATTTTCTTTTTCTTTTCTGTGATACAGATTGAGACAAAAACACAAATTTTACCCTGCAAATTCTTATTAATTGAAATTGCCATTCATAGTCAGGTAGCTTACCAATAGCTGCTCAATGAAGAAGAAGTAGCAAATTGTGCTAATCAAGACAAGGACCACAAAGTCCTGCCAGGCACTGCAGAAATCATGTATAAAAATATCCATCAAATTAAGTATACCTGCAGGGGGGAGCAAAAGATACGAAAAGGAAAAAGCAAATCCAAGAGCATTAAGGGAAAAACAATTTTGTCCATTCATAATCAGGGACTTGATTGTCATCAATTCCCTGACAGCCAGATTTAATTCTAAATTCTGACACTGAAATGCTCACTGAGCCCAGGCTAATGTAATCCTGCTGAATTCGATGAATAAAGAAAGACAGATTCAGCTGAATCAGCCAATAAAAAAATTGATGGACTCCACTTTCAGCTCAGTGAACTAGCAAAGGTATGAAGTTTGATTAGAACTGAATATAGATATCATAATGTGAATTTTGAGGTCTAATTATGAAGTTACCCAGTTTAGAAACAGCAAACCCAAATGCTTTGGATGATATTCAGAATCTTAGTTCAGTCACCTTATTGTTTGTGAATTTATATGATCTTGATTATTCCGCGATCTGTTATCTCTTTGACTGGTACTAGGCACCCGAAGCAAAGTTACTGGCAAATTTAAAACTTCTTGCCCACAGACTTCACAATTTTTGTTTCCTTTCATGCTAAACCACTTAACTGCACATGCTTCGTGTACGAGTCTAAGGGCACCCTTACAGCTGCATTCCATCTTGAGTGTATTTCCTTCATCACATACATCATAACAGATCCTGCAAACTGCTTCCTCTTCAGGAATCTCTTGATCATCATCTTCCACTGGAGCAGGAGTTATTTGATCTGACTTGACACAAATAACAGTTCAAGAAAATATCTATTAGACATGAGAAGATCAACCATCATTTATGAGCTATTCCACCAGGTTTTTCATACATATAATCTGAATCTCATACAGTGGTAGATTTGATTTATAAAACTCAAGAGATTACAGAAAATATCAGAGCTGCAAGTCTAGATCTATCACATGGCCAGATATAATTAACTTGGTGGCTCAAAAGTTGTTCAAAACTTCAATTACTTCTATGCACAAAAGCTTATAACCAAATTAAAGTTGCACAAATTTGGATAAGAACAATAATTTCATTTTCTTTCATTCCTATGTACTACAAGAAGAAACAACCTTGCGAAATCACTAAGGGATTCATTTAAGATAAAATAACTATTTAATACTATACAACTGCATATATTTACCAATATAGACTAAAACATGGTGCAACTCAGACAAATAGCAAACTGTTAGAGAAAAAACATTTCGAAAGACTGCATCTGTCCCATATAACAACATAGAAAAAAGAATTCAAATGGTATAGTGCAGTCAAGAGTACATACCATTATCAGCATCTGTTTGACGCTGCTCTCTACCAGTAACAAAAGATGCCGATCTTACAATAACAAAATTTTGACCTGGCACAGAGAGGGACCTTGACACAGTAGCTTGAGTTACCCCTTTCTGCCATTAACAAAACAACTACGCGTTACTCCATAATACCCAAAAAAAGGGAAAGAAAAAGAGGAACCAAAATTGAGGCAATGCAAATTTAAGATTGCTATTTGCAGATAGTATGATACTGTTCATGTGTATGAAGCCATAAGGCAGCAGCCTGTTTATACTGAAATGTAAAAAGTAATAGCAATACATAAGTCTAACATTACACTTTTTCTAGTTAAAAAACATTAGAACTTAGAAGTACCATTAGACAAAACAAACACTTGTTCCAATGAATATAATTTCAGAATTGCCTCAATATCTATATAATAAAGTATATAGATTTCAAATCTCCCAAGATATAAAAATGACTTTTGCTTTTCGTGGTTCAAATTGTCTCATACTTATGTCTGTTTTGATCCAATGGTTGAAAATCATTATTAATTTTTGTTTTCCCACTCTAAACTTAAGTCTAGTCTCTCTTCACTGTAACACAACACACACTCACATCCCACCCAGTACGCACAAATCGAACACCCCCCCCCAGCACACACTCCGACAATTTCACACACCATCAATAGTTCCAAGTCTAAACGACGTCGAAAAAACAAAAATGATTTAAGCTAGGAGATTGGTAACCATTGATGGCTCTCCCATAATATCAAAAGTATAGAACTGCCTTCAAACTTTTTTAAAAACTAACTCTAAATTCGTAATAAAAATTGCAAATTCACCATAAATCAAAATTTAACACCACTAATTTTCCTACAATGCTGCATAAAAAGATGTATGCTCCAAAAGAAGAGGGATATCTATATAATAATGCAGGTAAGAGTTTGAATTTTATCTCCATATATTTTTATCGCCAATTTCTATCGCATCACTTATTTCTATTACAAGTTAAATCATTTAATTTTTATTTACTCTGTGGCTCAATATAATTTTTATTTTAGACACTATTCACATACGATATTGTACACATGTTGATATTTGTTTTGAGGTCATGTATTTTAAGAAAATTTTATAGATTTTTTTAAAAAAAGTAATGGATAGAAATTAATATCAAATTATGTAATTAAAGAAAGGGAAGAAAATAAAATTTGTTATTTTATATTGAGAGATTGATTTTTTAGGCACTCGAATTTTATGTCATACAGGTTATGACTAGTATATCAATATGAGGGCAATGCTGACAAACCATGTTTACTGAATGGCATCAGTAATCACAGAAGTCTTGTATTTAGAAGGATAGCATTGTATATTATGAATTTTTCAGTTCACCTGTTGCCCAGATTTAAGAGAAGAACTAATCTCCAAATTTATTTCTTCGAATTGACTTGACATCCCATGCTAGCCAGAATGAGGAAAACTAGTTTGGTAGCTCATCAACCAGTAAAATAGCGTATAATAACTTACATTTGACTTGTGCTGTTCACCATAAGATCTTGCTGAGGCAGGTGTAGAAACTGAAGGGGACTGGTTTGATGCAGGAGTCACAGGAAGAGAGGCACATCTTTGCCACGGTAACTTGGACATGAAGTTGGCCAAAACAGGACTTTCAAGAGCTGTTTTAGGGTCTGGATTGAGAAGAGAGCTTCTTTCACCATCAGATGCAGCAGCTTTCTTCTTGAAGCTCAAACCACGAAATAAGCCTCCGGATGATGAATTTCCATTCAAGATACCTGGAGACTGGATTATCCCCTTACCACTGCGGCTACCACCAAAACCTAAGGGTGTAGGAGGAATTTGGAGGGAGAGATCTGAGCGCCGGACCGTTGTTCTTGAATTCATGACATTATCTATGGCCACCCTGTTTTGGGAACCAGCCTGCATGTAACAAACAATTGCCATCAATCAATCCTTTTAACTCCTTAGAAAAATGTGAAACCCGGAATATTAAAGGACTAGACAAACTTCACCAGATCAATGTGAAATGATCCTACTCAATGAACTAGTGAGATACAAATACCCCATATCCTTATACTAAGAACACAACAGATTACTATTAGAATAAACCACCAGTCTTGGGATATTAGGCTTCTTTCTTAACATGCTTCCATAAGTCATACTTTACTGCAGATCAAGCCAGTTTAAATACATTTCACAGTTAAATTAACAATCCTCAACTAAAGACATATTTTGGAAAGCAATAAACATCAGATTTATATCTTCTCACTATTTTCTCTCTGGATAACTATCATATTTATAAATTACAAAGAAAGAATTACCTCGTACTGTACTAACCAACATAGAACTCTCTCTCTCTCTACAGTAGAATTAGTTGTTGGTAAAAAGAAAAAAACGGTGATTAATTGATAACCAACTCAAGATCATGCATAATTAAGTCCCTAAACAGCCCGATCCCAGGTAAATTGGGCTGAAAAATAAACGCAGAAGCCATCAAACAATGAAACCCATTCAAAAATGAAGTAGAAAAAATAACAAAACGACAGTCATGCATCTGTATACCCTTCAGCATAAAATGGAGCATAAAGAGCAATTCAAGACATTTACCACCCGAAGCAGAACATTAACACCATTTTGTAGACACAGAGCACATATGCTCGCGCGTGTAAGTGAGAAAGAGGAGAGAGAGAACCTGAGGAGGATTATTCTCTGAAACTGCATTATCCACTGGGTGGGATGTTTGAGAAGTCTCCATTTTCTTCGTCTTTCTCCTCGAATTACTATTTTACATATATGCATAAGAAACAAGACGACAATGACTTTAAAGGAACAAAACCAAACAAATACCGAGAAAGAGAGACAAGATGGTGAGAAGAGAATACGGTTGTTGTGAGCGTGAGTGTGGGTCTGGTAGGGTTTTACTTGGAAGATGAGGGGGGTAGTAGTGGGTGGCCCCCTCCAACGCAACTCTGATGGGTTGTCGTCTTCTTCCCGCAATGATGTCACGTTGTCGGTAGTAGTTTTCACCATTTTATAATTATTTTAGGGTTAATTGCAAATTATATCTTAAAAGAGCTCAATTTATTCCCTCAAAAATTAAAAAATTTAATTTATACCCTAAAAATAGAAATTTATATTAATGTGCACCCCTAAAAATCAAAAATCTTAATTTATACCTTTAAAAATAAAAATTTGTATCAATGTACACCTAAAACTAACCGCCGTCAATTTGCTATCTAAAATTAAATTGATAAATTATACTTAAATTCCTTTATGTTTATCACTTAATTATTTAAACTCCTTCATATTTAGAATATTACTCCTACATCTCATGACGTTTCGTTGATATTTATTAATATAAGAATTAAAAAATATAATTTTATCCTAACAAAAATTTTTAACTTCATATTACCCTTTATTTTGTGGGTCCGATATACTATAAAGTTCAAAATCAAGCTTATTATTTGAATATCCAATAGAATGTAGGTATTTATATAATATTTTTTTTATATGTAATGCAATATATCACTTAAACATAATTATTTAAATGCTAAAATAGAGAAACATTTTAAATTGAGAGTATTTTTATTAAGATTTTATAACTATTAAAAAATATAATTTTGTCTTAATAAAAAACTATAATTTCATATTACCCTTTATTTTGTGAAAGAGTTTAAATGATTAAATGACAAACATGAGAAAATCTAGATATAATTTATCAATTTAATTTTAAACAGCAAATTAACAACAATTAGTTTTATATGCACATTGATACAAATTTTTATCTTTAAAGTGTAAATTAAAAATTTTGATCTTTGAGAATAAACATTGATACAAATTTCTATCTTTGAGAGTATAAATTAAAATTTTTTATCTTTAAAAGTACGAATTGAGTGTCTAATTTGCAATTAACCCATTATTTTATCCGTCGCTTTGCCGTTTCTTTTTTTTGTCTCCAACTCACATTTAAAGTTTGGTTAGATTGTGACTAATTGAGTTTTAAGTCAATTTTTAATTTAATTAGTTTAGGTTCTTATTCAATTTTCATAATTACCTATTGAATCTGCATCATGTTGGAAATGATCTCAATTCTCAATAATAATTTTGAAAAGTTAGAATCTAATAATCAATGTCAAAATAATTAATTTAAAATTAAAATAATTAATTATAAAATTAAAATCTGCAAGTTTGAATTTTTTAGTAAACTAATTGAACTAGACAGGAACAAAGACCATCTTGGTATTGATGGTATTTGCCAATTTTTCAAGATCATATCATAAAAATTTATCTATCATGAATATATTAGTTTCAACATAAATGATGTCTTTAATTAGATTAAATAAGAGATTATTCGAGGTAAGTGTAAACTACGAATAAACTACTTAAGCACCTCACCGTTGAATATTAGTGGTACAATATACTAATGATTTTGGATTAGTTGTTAAATAAAAGGCAAACCACGAGCATTAGTTTATATGCCCTGATTTTGAACCTTTCACCTGCCCAAAAGAACAAAAATCTGGGTTTAATTGATGTGCATTGTTTACTAATTGTTGTGTTCGTGTCTAAAATTTACATTGTAGTCGTGAGTTTGAAAAAATGATGAAGACGATCACCCATAACAACCACAACGATTACCGGAGGCCTATATGAACAGCAAAGATCTGATTAGGCTTCAAGCATGCACCACATTGTTCACCTCTGTCACTGCAACAAAGGAGATTAAAATGCAGCATTTCTAAGACATGAGCCTACCTGGGTAATTGGGGATCTGTATGCTACAGAAATTAAACTGGTTATGTTCGCGCTCCCGGGGCATTACTGAGTCCAATTGAAAAATGTTCAGCCTGTCCAGTGTAAGAACATGGATTCCATCAAAACAATTCCTGCATTTTAACAATTTTCACAAAAATATTGAAGTTCAACCGTGGAAGTACCAGGGTATTTTTTTTTAAAATGTGGGTATGCAAGCAAGTCAATAGGATTTCCTAAGTGGTTTAAATATAGCTTCAAAAACAAAGAACAAAAATAAAGATTGTATGGTCGATGGCTAATTCCCAATCAAATTGGTCGATCATAAACACAAGGAAGAGCATGCACAAATCCATGAGTAGTGACAAAAATAAAAAAAAATCCTCAATGTATCTATAAACTGACGTGTGTATCTCCTAATTATGTAGCATTGGATGTTTTCATCTTGGTCATGTTTATAAAAAAATATCCAAGAGATAGTTTTAACGATGAATATGCCACTAATGATGGTACATCAACATAAAAGGCCGACAAGCCAACCCGAAGAAGCCCTTATGTTATAGAAAATTCAATTCAACAAAGAAACCAAACCCACGAAATCACTGCAAACCAAAAACAATAAAAACAAAAAATCTGGGGAAAAAAAACTTAGTTACAAAAAATTCATTCTAGATATAAGTATGATGTTCTTAAGAGCTCCACCTTTTTACCAAATAGAAATTATGTATAAAGATCCTTAATTCGATACCTCCAGACACGAACAATGGCTGCGATTTATGGAAATGATAGGCGTGAATAGGCCAATTGTTCTTGCCGATCGTATCCAGCTGCATCACACCACCAATGATCTGTGTGTGAACCAGTATAACTATACCAAAAACAAATAGAGAAAAAATGATCTATAGTAAAACATAAATCAATAATAGTTAGCAAAATTACATCTTGTTTACAATCTTCTGTCAAGAATTTTGTCATAGATGGCTCATTAAATCTCTAGCGTCCATCGCCAACTGTTGAACACCCTGAGCAGCTGGCCTCTAGATATAAACATGCACCTAATCAATCCAAAACAACACATTTAACAAAACCCATAAAGAAATGCTGAAACCAAGTCCCAACCAAACACATCACTCAAGACAATGAACGGAATAAATTATATCTACTATGCTCACCAAAAAATAAAATCTGGGTATGCGATAGAGGGTGTGTGGGTGACGAAGTGTGTGTGTTTTTTTTAATCTTTTGAACATGTACGGTTGTGGTTCAAATGGTGGGTGCTTGTGAAAAACAGAGAGTGTACGTTAGAAATATTTGGGGCATTTGATCAACAACATATACGACTAAACTAAATAATTGTAAGAACAAAGGCAAAATCCATACGACTAAACGAAATAATTGAAGCAATCATAAATCATTCGAACCTAAAGTAATTACAAAACTTGCATCAAATTGAATCTAATCAAACCGAATTCACCTCATTATTGCCCGAATCATGAGTGATATGTGTGCATTGCTTGTGTGTGTCGATTCGGGATTGCACAAAACCTTCTTTGTCACGTGCCTATTCAAACATATATTTTAAAAAAATAAAACAAATAACACACTATTCAAACTTAAAATTTCATTTAAAATAAGCTAATCTAAGGAGCAACATTATCAAATAACAATTCACCTCATTTTCACATAGCAAATGTACACGCACCTATAACTTTACAATTTGAAGAATCGAAAATAACATTGATAAAGAGAGTTAAAAATTAGATAATGTGATTTCACTCCTGAATGTCACTACCATTGATGAATTTTTCGAACTTTTGATGGGACCTATTTCCACAAATTTTTGCAAAAGAAGCCCTCAATCTCGTAGTTTCACAGAGAAAAGTAAATTTAATGGGTTTCAAAACAAAAATCAATTTAAAAACTTAACAAATAACAGAAAAAAAACACCGAGAAAGATTCAGATCTGCCAATTAAATGTTGTGTGAGTACTTGGTGTGCGTGGGTGTCTGTGCGTGCCTGCTGCTTGTGTGCTGTGTTTATGCTCTGTGTGTGTGTGTGCATTCTGTGCCTGTTGCGTGGGTGGGTGCTATGTGTGTGCCTGCTGGGTGTGTGTTCAAACATATGGTGGGCGGTGTGTGTTTGTTAATTGAGTGACTGTTGCGAGGTTGGATTGTCTGGGTTTACGGTGGAGAGAGAGAAAGGGAGGAAGAGATACTTGGCTGGCGTCATTGTGTCGTTGGCGGCGGCTGCTGGAATCGATGACGACTGTGGTGACTCAATGATGTCCCAATCTTGACCGATGTCATGAAGAAGAAGGTCCTGCAAGACATATATTATTTGCTATGCTGTGTTCGGATTCCTAATCAAACCAACTTCAAAAAATTCAAATTGAAGAAAATCCAAGAGATTGCGTGGGTGAAGGAAAGGGTGTGTGCCGTGTGTTCTGGGGGGTGGGTTGCATTGTGTGTGTTCTGTGTGATTGTGTTCTCTGTCTGTGTGTGTGTGATGGGCAGAGAGGAAGGGGCGATTGTGTTCTGTGTGTGGGGTGTGTTGGGAGGGGGTATTTTTTTTTTTGGGCAGTGGGTTGCGCAGAGGGGGAAGGTGTTTTCTGTGTGTGCGTGTGTTGTGCGGGTGAGTGAGAGAGAGAAGCAGAGTAGATAAAGACATAACTGGCAGGGGTGTGGCGGAGGCAATGGCGGTGTGACTGGCGCTGGGATAGCAGAGAGAGAGAGAGAGAGTAAGGAGTGAAAATAGGGACTGGAAAAGGGTTAATAGTAAAGAAGGGAAGAAGTAGAGCTGTATAGGGGCGGCATGGTTTCTGAGTCTCACAGAAGAGTGAAGGCAGTGAGGAGAGGGTCGGGAGGATTTGGGGGAAAAATGTGTAGAGTGTTTTATTATATTTGAGTTAATTATAAATTATATTGATATTTCGAATTTTAAGTTACACCTTTAAAGATTAAAAATTTTATTTTATATTTAAAAAAAAATTGTATCAATATGAATCAGAAATTAAGAGCATCTCCGATAGAATATCTAAAATTTAGTATATTTACAGCATCATATATAAATAGTTTATAATATATTTTCTCTCTTCTTGTCTTTCACACTTCTCTTGGCCACTCATGGTCTTTCCCTCCTTTTTTTTTTCTCTCCAATAGATTCAACAAATATAAAAAATATAATATATAAAAAAAAATAGTTAAAATATAACAAACTTGTTAGAATATATATTGAAAAAGTGAGTAACTAAAATAAAAAGAAAATATACTTTTGAATAGTTTAACTACAAAACCTTGTTAGAGTTGCTCTAACAGTTTCGTCTAAAATTAAATGAATAAATTACACTTGGATCTCTTTAGATTTATTACTTAATCATTGGATTCCCTCACATTTAGAACATTACACCTATAACCCGTGACATTTGTGCACGTGTAACACATAATCCCCTGTCGTCAATATCCATAAATGTAACTATTAAAAAATATGATGTGATCCTAATAAACAATTATAATTTCTATATTATTTTTTATTTTATAAATCCGTTATACTCTAAAGTTCAAAATCAAGAATAACTTTTGAATATCCAATATAATGTGGGTATTATATTATATTCAAAAGTACTAGTATTATATAATGTCCTTTATATCTAATGCAATATCTTAGTTGAATAGAATTATTTGGATGCTCAGTTGGGGGAACACTTTTAGTCATATTTAGATTCTTAAGGGGTGTAAGTATAATATTTTAAATATGAGAAAGTTTAGGTAATTAAGTGACAAACATGATATTCTAATGGATAAATTTAAATATTTACTCAAATATTTTAAACAATTTTCTTACTGTCTCATTGCTCATTTTTAAAATTTTTACCACCAAAACATTTTATCTAATATTAAAACATGTTTCTTACAAATTTCACTAATATTAACTAAAAAATATCAACCTTTTTGAGTAATAGATTCGTGGGTTTTTTACTTAATATGAGTGTTGAGATAGTTTAAAAAAATTATCATCAAAGAATAGAGGTAGAGAGAGGTGGTGTGGTCGGTGACGATGGTAGCGGCTTTAAAGATAGAAACATGTTCGGTCTAAAAAGTTTTTTAGATTTGGATAGGATAAAAAGTTATCAATTAACCCAATTCGTGCTCAATCCGACCAATTTCAAACCAAGTTGAACCCCCTGATTAAATTTTTAAATTTGGGTGAAAATCAGATTTTTCATTAACCTAAATCAAATTAAACAAAAAATAGAGTTCAATTTTATGTTCAATCTTAAAGTTGAACCTAAAATCTATTAATTTTTATTAATCAAAAGTTAATTTGAAAAAAAAAGAACAAATTCCACGTTTGCAATAGCATTCAAATATTACTAACAATGATTGAGGTTTAGAGCAAATGTTTTTGAATAATTTCGGGTTAGCCTGCCCAAATTTCACCCTGGGAAAATTTATCCCCCACACCGACTCTACCTGAATACTTTCTACAGTCTACATATTAAACGGTTGATTTCTCCTTATGTCAATCTATCACACAACCACAGAAACAATAGGCAATAAGTCATATCCCTTTTGGCTTGTTTAGTGTTTCTTGACAGATTTGCATTGACAAATAAATCACATTACATGGAAGCAACATCAAGTTCTGATCTTTTTGTTAGCATTGAAGAGCTCACCCAATTCACAAGACTCTCATCATTGCGGAGTCTGAAGAAGGTTAGATGTACACAACATTACTCCTAAAAGTAAAGAGGTTGTTTCTGCAACTCAAACCCATGACCTGCAAATTATAATGGAGTAACCTTACCATTGCGCCAAAGCCTACCCTCTGGATTTTATATAATGATTTTTCTGTGCTAACACTACATTTTACATAATGATATTTAGGAATGCGAAGAATAGATTTTCACAAATATTCGATTTGTACATAAAGAGAGGAACAAAAGCCCTTACATCTACTCTATGACATGATCTCCAGAGCCTCTCTTGTTTGCCCAAGTATATTGAATACTGTTGCTGCAATATGAGATGGTGTGAGACCAGCTTGGGCCAGTTGGTCAGCAGGGGATCCATGGTCAATGTACCGATCAGGAAGAACCAGTGATCTCCACTGCAGTAAGTTTCAAGGACACAAAGTGAGTGCTCTATAGCAGAGTCCAATGCAAGCTTTCTCTTGACAAAAAAACAATAAATACTCAAATACATTGGATAAAAACAAAACATATAGGATGTCTCTTCTGTCTGTTGGTATACACTTCATAGAAAGGTCTACAATATTTGCAGAATTCCAACACTATGCACTTTGGCATTTACCAATTTCAAGCAGTTTTTTTTTTTTTGTAGATGCGCTGTTCTAGATTCAAGCATCTTTAAACCAAGGATAAAAGGTTCGTTGTGTTACAACCCCGAAATGTTTTGAATATTGAAATTTTCATGTTTTGAGAGGATCGAGGATGGACAATGTTTTGGGAATATTGTTTTTATCAGTTAGTTGATAGATTGGTACTTTGGTTTTGAGATGTAATTGAAAGTTTTAGTTACCTTTTGTGGAATTGATTTGGCTATTGAATTATTGGTGGTTAACATATGGTTCAGAAACTCCAGCATTAGTAGTGAGACAGATATGGCTGATTAAAAGATCCGGGAGAGAGGGTGGATTGGTAGAATCAGGAGGTCAAGGAGAGGGCTAAGATGGCGTATAGACGGCCAATGGGTTACATCAGGGTTGTCCTAGAGAAGGGTAAGCTCTCTCCAGTTTATGATAACTGTGTATCAGATACAAACCTTCACCTTTCCATCAAGAAGCCCATCTAGAGCTATGAACTGAGCAACATGAGACCCAAACCCTCCGATTGATCCTTCTTCTACTGTGATCAAAACATCATGCGTTTTTGCCAGGCTGCGAATAAGAGCATAATCCAACGGTTTGCAGAAACGTGCATCTGCAACTGTTAACCGCAATCCATGGGGTTTTACTAAAGCAGCTGCAGCCAAACAGCTCTGTACTGCTGTTCCATAGCCCAAAAGTGCTATTCTCTCCCCTTCAATCAATATCCGGCCTTTTCCAACCTGTTGCAAAAATGTTCAAGCATATGTCAATTTTCGTTTTCTTCATATTTCTTCATTTTCTTTGATTTTGTTTGAACCATACCTCAAGAGGAATGCCTTTGTTCCCTGGTGGCAGCTCTGCACCAACCCCATTTCCTCTTGGGTATCGAAAACAGCTTGGTCTGTCATCTATGGCAGCAGCGGTTGCAACCATGTTAAAAAGCTCAGCCTCATCCGAAGGAGCCATCACCACCATGTTTGGGAGGCATGCCATGTAAGTGACATCAAAAGCACCACAATGTGTCGGACCATCAGCTCCAACCAGCCCAGCTCTGTCCATTGCAAACCTCACGGGCAGCTTCTGCAAGTCTACATCATGCACCACCTGTACCATGAAGCAAGACCATTTGTTCAATGGTTTGTATTCAGCAATTATCTAAGCTTCATCAAATACTATTGCCAGAGAAGAAAAGTGGAGGTATTGCCTTGCCTGGTCATAAGCCCTTTGCAAGAAAGATGAGTAGATTGCACAAAAAGGTTTAAGGCCTTCACAGGCTAATCCTGCAGCAAAAGTTACAGCATGCTGCTCTGCTATCCCCACATCAAAGCACCGTGCAGGGAAGCGGCGAAGGAAAAGATTCAAGCCCGTTCCACCTCCCATTGCTGCATGGATTGCAACAATGTTTTTGTCCACCTCTGCTTCTGCAATCAAAGCTTCTGCAAAGTACGTTGTGTAAGACTGTGTTTTAGCACTAACTTTGAGTTGCTTTCCAGTTGCCGGATCAAACTTGGCCACTCCTGCAAAAATATAACACAGGTACAGTTTAAAGTTCCACTTTGTAGCGCTATCAAATAAGATACAACGAGACTCAATGATCTATTTCATAATTGGAATAAACAGATGATGATTGATGAATTGCTATATATCAATCTGAAGAATTCTCAACTCTACTTCATAAATTTGCAACCGATGTATATACCATGATACTTGTCTGCAGCTTTCTCAGCATACGGGTATCCTCTACCTTTCTCTGTGACAACATGGATCAGCACGGGACCAGTTGATTTAGTACTCTTAACTTCTTTGAGAATGGCCACAAGATCGTCTATGCTATGACCATCGACAGGACCTATATAATAGAGTCCAAGCTCTTCGAACAGTGTTGATCCAGAAACCGCTGATCAACCCACGAGCATATTCATCAACTTTCGCTGCAAGTTCATGCATAGGCCCGCCAATCTGCTTGGTAACTCCCTGAAACAATTTCAATCACAACATAAAAGGCTTCAGTTTCAAAAGTCTAGAATACAGATATTGTTTTTTGTTTATTTTTACTCGGTGAATTATTACAAACCTTGGCAACTTCTCTTAATTCCCTGAGAGGTCTGTTTGACTGCAACCTACTTAGAGCACTGCTCAAAGCTCCTACAGGTGGTACGGGACCATCCAAAGTAGCAGTGGGTAAAGAGACCTGTTTGTTGTCATTCAGAATAACAATCATGTCGGAGTCTAGGTAACCAGCATTGTTCATGGCTTCATAAGCCTGACCTGCTGTCATGGCACCATCACCTATAACTGCGACTACTTTATTCTTTCTTCCTTTTAAATCTCTTCCAACAGCCATCCCTGTCCATTGAAAAGATCCCAAAGATCAACAAAGAGCAATTTTTATCAAACAGGGGCTCTAAATTTGGATCAGTAACAGAAGATAAGAAAAATTGAACATGAATAGGATGAATATGATGGTGTGCTATACTATTGAAGGGTGTACATGGCGCAGGATGATCCATGGTTCTTACTCAATGAATTCATTGGCTTATTTTATCGTATCATCGTCACGTTTCCAGTATGAATCCGAGGTTCTAATCAATTCATAGCCTCTTAACAAGAGAATTCTCAAAATTGCTTTTCTTTATCTTGGGAAATCAAAAAATTCATTATCAACAAGACAACAAAGTATCAAATCTTTTGATCCACAAACCAATGGTAGTGGAAAACTCTGGAATATATACCTTCCAACAGCTAAAATACAATCGTACAAGGAGTACCTTGTAGCTATACTAAAAACTATTCCAACTCAAAAATTAGAATTGTGGTTCTATTTTCCGTCACAGTACTCAGTTGGAGTAGAGCAGAGGATTACCCAAGCCTGCTGAGATGGTGGTAGAACTGTGACCAGTCCCAAAACAATCATACTCACTCTCTGAGCGCTTGGTGAAACCCGCTAACCCATTGGTCTGTCTTATTGTGTGCATCTTGTCTCTTCTCCCAGTCAAGATTTTGTGTGGGTAAGACTGCAGAATATGAGCAGATACAACCAAATTAAGCTTGAAGGGCAATTCTGCTGAGAGTATTTTCTATTTTT